GGGTTTAACCAGCAGTTGAATTTGGATACCTTTCAAGTGCCCATTTTTCAAGGGAAAAATCTCAACATGCTGAACATGATTTGTGAGGGTACCGGACTTCAGATTTGCACTCCTTTGTGGAAGGGCTGTAATTCCAAGGAAATTAGGTCTGCTTATCGGAAGTATTGGAAAAGATGGGCCGGTAGTCCTATGAGGGTTTTTACGGATGGGGGTACCGAGTTTGATGGAGTTGTCCAAAGTGGCTTTGATGAAGATGGGGTTTATACTGACAAAAGTGCTGCCTATAGTCCATGGCAAAACGGCATGGTTGAAAGACATGGCGGCATTTGGAAGACCATTTTCAAAAAGGCCTTTTCCGAATCCCAGCCCATGAACAAGAAAGAAGTCAATGAGTTGATTGACCATGTGAACCAATCAAAAAACAGCATGACCAGAAAGCATGGTTACAGTCCTTTTCAACATGTGTTTTTGGTTGCGAGATTCGTTTGCCTCAGGGTCTTTTGGATGATAATCCTAGCATTCCTTACCACTCAGGGGTTTTGCACGGTGATGAAGAGATGGCTCGAGCAAATGCGCTGAGACGCCCCGCTCGAAAGGCCATGGTGGAGGCTGACAATGATGACAAGGTGAGACGAGCCATAGTTCACCGGCCACGGGTGGCTCGTGCCCAAGAACTGGCTGTGGGCGATTTCGTCTATTACTGGCGGAAGTATCGAGATGATGGCAAAGCAGGACTCTGGAGGGGACCAGCAAGGATCATAGGATTCTATGACGGGAGGTCCAAACTGTGGGTCAATTATGGCAACAAAGTCATTCGCTGCGCCCCAGAACAGGTCAGACGACTGACCTGTGACCAAGAGGCCGCACTGCGCTTCGTGACGGAGGACATGATTGCTGCACGGAGGCGCCTTTCTGACAGAGGTGCCCAGGTGTTTGTGGACATAAGCCAGGAGGAACATCCTTCCGCAGACAGTGAACCATCAGCTGAAGAGAGAGAACTTCCAGAAGCCAAAAGACAGCGACGTCATGAAAGTCTGGAAGAGCCAGGCGACGATGAACGACAGGGGGAGGCCGATGAGGCCCGACTGGCACTAGAGAATGCGGCTATGGTTCCCATTGAAAGCGAGGAGGAAGAAACACAGCCTCCAACGGAAGAAAGTGTTCACGGTGAAGACAGTCTGGCCACTCAGGGAGGAAGCCGGAGAGACTCAGTCAGTTCAATTCAACAAGATCAGCAGCCAACCCACGCGTCATTGCCTGGCTCTGCGTCAGCGCCATCTGCATATGGACCGGTGCGTGGAATAGAACCACCACCCACTGCCCTGACAGAAGCTCTAAGACGGAGCACAGAGTTTCTGGATGCAGGTCGAATGAGAGTCAGTCGCACGCCATACGAGCGTGAAGGACCGAATGCCGAGCGTGAGTTTGATGCCATGCTGGTCGATGAGATGGAATCTCAAGACTGTTTCCTAGCGACCCAAAAGCGTGACTCCGAGCTGAAAAACAAGGATATTGCTGAACATGAATGGGAACAAGTCCTTTTGGGGAAACGAAAAGAGTTTGACAAATTGATCAAGACGGGAGCCATCAAGATTCATTCCGGAAAGGATGCTGATGAAATCCGTAGGACCACCCCCAAAGAAAGAATTTTGGAAAGCAGGTTTGTGAAAACCAGAAGGCTCAATCCCGATGATGCGACCAGTAGTGAGATCAAATGTAGGTGGGTTTTGAAAGGGTTTCAGGATCCGGACTTGTTGAATCTTCAGCGTCAATCCCCCACGTTATCTGCGGATGCCCTGATGGTTACCCTTCAGATTTTGGCCTCTTATAAGTGGGTCATGAACATCATGGACATTGAGGGGGCGTTTCTTCAGGGCGAACAGTTAACCAGACAAGGGGGTAAGTTGTATGCTTGTTTGGGGAATGATTCGGTCATGGGTATTCCCCCAAATTCTATCATTGAGTTGTGCAAATGTGTTTACGGGTTGATGGATGCTCCTAGGAGATGGTGGGAAAGCCTGAGTAAATCCTTGGTTGAATTGGGTATGAAACAAAGCGAATTGGATCCGTGTGTTTTCTACTGGTTTGATCCTTTGAATAACAATTCCTTGGGTGGTATTCTGGCTGTTCATGTTGATGACATGGTTTGTGGTGGTACTGCTGGGTTTGTTGACACTGTTTTGAAACCTTTGGAAAAGAAGTATCCTTTCAAACGCTGGAAAAAGGTGGTGGTACTTTTTTGGGTAGAAATCTTCAACAACAACAAGATGGGTCCATTGTTTGTGATCAATCGGATTATGCGAGTAAAGTTCAGACCATCAACATTTCGAAAGAACGTCGTAAACAGAAGGATGATGCCCTGACCCCGAAGGAGTTGAACCAGTATCGGGGAATCATTGGTGCGGCGAATTGGGTCACAGGGAGCACTAGACCGGACATTGCGGCGTGGACGGGTTTGTTGCAACAGAAAACTGGTCATGCTTGTGTTGGAGATTTGATCGATGCTAACCGACTGGTGTCAAAAATTCGTGACATGAAACATGTGAGTGTTACTATCAAAAGTATTCCTCTTGATGATGGCATGGTCGTTGTTACTAGTGATGCGGGTTGGGCTAATTGTTCGGACTTAAGTAGTCAAGCGGCTTACATGACGTTGTTCGCACATAAACAGGTGGCTCAAAATCAATGGAGCGATGTATCGCCCCTTAGATGGAAATCATGGAAACTGGAGAGAAAGACCCAGAGCACGTTGGGCGCTGAACTGATGGCGGTATCACGTGCAGTGGCAGAGGGCGACTGGATTCGTTCTATGTTTGCTGAGGCCCGGCAACATGACTACGTGTTGACTGATGACAAGAAACGAAGACAGCAGCTTGACTTGATGATTATCACAGACAACAAACCTATTTTTGATCACAGTCAAGGAGATGGAGTAACGATCAAAGACAAACGCACTGCCATTGACATGCTGATTCTGAAATCCGATCTGAAATCGGAGAGAACTGTACTTCGATGGGTGGATACCCGGCAGATGATCGTTGACTCGCTAACTAAGATGGGTGCCAGCCCGGATTTCTTGTATTTCTTGTTGAAATTTGGTAAATATATCGTGGTTGAAGAGGGAGTGTCTTTGCAATGGAAAGCTCAAGAGAAGATTGAACGAAAATTGGCTTCACCATCTAAAAAGGGGTGTGAGAAAAGTTCCACTCATGATGGATGAAGCCATTAATACAAGTTGAGTCCGTGTGACTTCAAGCACTCGGAGCGTGGGGCTCGAGTACCGCAGAAAAGGTTGGTGATGGTGCTGCCACTGGGAGGTAACCCCTCTCACAAGGGCAATTCTAAGAATCAAAAAGATTGAAAAGTAAAATTCCATCTCAAATAATTAGTGATGAATTACGGTTCCATTCTTTTCTATCTGTTTGGGGATGACATTTATAGACATTTATAAATGTGAAATTCCATGGCAGATTGCTAGCCCTCGCCGCTGCTGTTTGGGATCTAAAGTGCCGCCCCCAACTGGGCTGTCGGCCACTTGCCTGCAGACGGGAGAAGCCCACTTGAGGGACTGACGAACCAGGCTTCAACCAGGCTTCTTAGCCGGTTACCAAGTATATTTGGTTAAAGATGGTACAGTAAACTGTGGTGAAAAGTAGGTCGATACATTTTCGGGGGTGCTAGAATTGGGGGAATACAACGCCAGGCTGGAAGGCAACCTTGTTGTTGCAGACTATGGGAGATTTACCATGCTGCGCAATGGTGGTAGTAACCTTTCGGGTTGCTTTGGATAGCTCAACTCTTGCACTGATGTGGCGATTTGTGGCCCTTCCTCAGTACCATGGGCACCATACAAGTGGAGATCTCAAGAGCCTCATTTGACCGTGGTTTGCAGTGATGTTATTCTAGAGAGCTAGACTCAGCTAGTAATTAAGCACTCAAACTTCCTGGACATGTAGTGTAAATTCAGCGGGTGCACCTCAAGCATGAGAACAATTGCTCCCGGGGAGGCCTTTGAGCCGGATGGAAGCCCAAGACATGATCATGTCCAGCAACTTCATGGGGCAAATGATGTTCAACAACCAGCTGGGGCTTGGGGTTACAAGAGTTTCAGAGAACACTACTGAGTACTTGGGGGTGCAGTTCCAGATGTAAGTGGATATATAATCATAGCTATTGATGCTATATATAAGGTATGGTGAATTGTCCATGGCTACGTTTGATTACCGGAGGCTACTGTCCTTTCCAACCACTTCTGACGGCTCAGGCGTTGACCTTATCCTGTAGCGAAGACCTTACCCTACATTACTTTTGAGCCAGGCGGGAAGGTCCTGAAATCCAAGGATTCAGGTAGCCGCTACCACCGAAGTGAAGCACCCTTGGGCACACAACCATGGCACTGAAATACCTCCATCTTCAACAGGTATCAACAATTATCAACGGGTAAATCGTGGAAGGACAAGTTGAGACGAGTTGTTTCTTCCACCTGGATTTGTGGCCATCTCACCATGTCTGGGTGTATTACCGGCATTTCCGGAGGCAGCAAGGTAATACCCCAGTAGATGGCCAGCCGGAAAACAGGCAATTTGCAGGTCAAATTTGGAAGTCTCAGCATTGCCATTCAATTTCAAATCAACTATTTCTAGTTGATATATGGGAATGTGGCAAAAGGGTACCGGATGGTACCGGGCTATTGTCACCTCCGCAACTTCCCGAAATGGTTTGTAACCCTAGCCCCGTAATGTAAGATAATATAAGTTACAACTCCTACAACTGGGCTACCATTTCATGGGATCTTTCTTATATCCCAGTAGTTCTACCGCATGTGTTTCTCCGTGATATCGTCGCATGCCTAGCGAGCCCCTTGGGCCTCATATTTTGCAGATATTTATTCTACATTTCCATGGAAAAAAGGCATCTGTATTGCAACAGGCTATGCCCATCATTGAGCAAACAGATGTGACAACGGCGCCGGAGGTCCGATGATTTGTGGCCTGGTGGCTATGGCTTCTTGGCGATCACCTGGATATCATCTTACTGGTGCTTAGTAGGGAATTTTCGGGAATGATCCACAATAACTATCAATAATCATTCCCCCATTCCCATCCATTCCCAACTAAGCACAGCCCCGAGATTTCAGTATAGTTTGGTAGTTTGGGTTTTGCTGAGCAACCGGCACCACCAGTGGGGGTGAAAACTTGGTGAAAACAGTAACATTGAACTTCTAGGGTACCGGCCACATTCTTGGACAACCGCACAGTTGCTTTCAAATATGTGGGTTCAAGCTAAAATTAATGATTTTCAACCCTGGATTAATAAACCCCAGGCTTTAAACTTGAAGTATCAAATTACCACTATTTTAGGGGAGTACCATGGTTTCATCTAAGGCGATGACTCTGGCAGCCTCCATGCGTGTCCCTGCAGAGGTCGGGTTTTGACTCTGGCAGCCATGGCTTTTGGTCACTGGATGCTGCTTATTGGGGTGATTTTTGTTGGGATGCACATGGATGTACATGGATGCACATGGATGTACATTGTGCATCATTGTGTAGCCAGGATTAAACATGCAGTTTATTATATAATAATATATATATATAAAAATAGATTGAAGTATCATTGTTTATTCATAGTGCCCCTCTTTGAATAATATTCTACAACATGTTGTGAGACCATCCCGCGATCGGATCCATGATGGGAACATGTTTTTCGCTGCGGAGCTACGACGTCATGATGCAGTGGGAACTGGCAATGTGGGGAGATGACCCTGATGACCCTGATGACCTCATACCCATAGGATCCATGTATGGTATATATAGATGGAACATGTTACCATATATAGCATACATGGATCCTATGGGATATGTATCAGAGAATCGTCCCAATATTTTTTCGTTGAATCCGTTGTCGAAATTCATGATAAATGGATATCAAATTGTCTGTATCAATGAACCCTGATTGCCTGGTTTGGGAGTGGGAAGCCGTACCCAATTTTGTCATTTGCGATTTTTTGGAAGCCTGAAAAAAAACTAGGAAGCATGATTGGGTGCAGAAGTCCAAGAATTGGGACTATCCCCTAACAAGAAAACCATGGGATTTTTCCAATGAAAGTTAGTGAACTAGTTAAATCCCATGAATATCCATCAATATGCATGGGTTTCACTTATATCCCATTTCATATCCATTAATAACCAGAGTATATTTTACTTATATCCCCCTTAATATCATATCCATCAGATTTCACCATCACCTAATATTCATTGATTCAATGGGAATTCCCCTGACATATTTTGGGGGTATATATTTTCTTACATAGCCCTTACATAGACCTTATATATGGTATAGGTACCTCCAATTTAGGTTCCTGAAATGGCCAGTGATTGATAGGAGCGTCAGCACTGAACCTTTGTCAGGGTGCAGCCCTGATCCAGTCGAGCCAGCCAGAACTCGGCCTGGGCCCCGGGGTGGGCCCCTGATGGCCCCTGGGCGCCTGGCGCTCCAGCATTGAAGCAGCTGTTGAAAGCTCATGAACTGTTGACAAATGTGGATGAAATGACGTTGGCTCCATTTTTTTCGATTCATGAAGGTTAATGAAACGAATTGTCCTCTACTGCCAATCCAATTTCAGTTAGTCAAATGATGTTAACTCTTGACCCCTGTTATATGATATACTTTTGGTAAATTGTTTGGTTATTTTAGGTATTTGTACTTATTTTCAATACAACTATCATGATTACCGTTAACGAATGTCAAGTTTCCTCTCCCCCAAACCCATAGGATCCATGTATGGCATATATGCTAACATTTGGGGTATATTGATGGTAAATGTTACCATATATGGCATACATGGATCCTATGGGAAATGAACAGGTCGACCTTGAAATTAGCCAATCTTTAGTGGAAGCTCAGCTTCCAACCCGCGATTTATTTGGAAGGGTCTGTGTCAATTTACACGTCAGTACCATCCCCAACGATCCCAAAGAAAGGTCACCTCAAATCAATAAGATGAAAGGTCCAGATGGATATGGGTTCAACTTCAGGCCGGAAATTGCAGATCTTTGAGTCAGTCATGATCATGTCAATAAATATTTAGTTTTGGCTGGCCAATTTTCACTCTTTGAATTCTCCTCTAATCATTTGTCAGATCTGATTTCTGACTAGACCGTGTTTAAAAAAAAAATCTCAAAACTTGTTTCAGAATGTCAAAAAGGCACACTTTTACCGTTGACTCTGCCAGACAACACGCAGCCTTTGAAATACCACAGTTGGATCAAGGGAACAGTACTGGAATCCCCAAAGAGAAGTGAATGGCAAAACAATGGTTTCAACATGTTTCAACGGTAAAAGATCCACCCTGATAAGTCAAGTCAGTCAAGTTATATAAATCTCATCAATATCCATTAATCTCCATTAATACCCTACTGACCCACTAATATCCACTATTATCCACTATTATCCACTATTATCCACTATTACCCACTATTATCCACTATTATCCACTAACATATAATCATATTCATCCAAGTTTGAGAATGTTCTCATATTCTTCCCCAGGCCCCTTGGATTCTCCGGTGACTCGAGGTCGCAGTGCGGAGATCCGAGAAAGTCCCCCTCCAAGCGCGTTCAAAGAGAAGGCCGGGAGTGGGTGGAGACCTGGCTGATTGGCCATGGCGGCCATGATTTACCCATTAAAAATGGTGATTTACCCATGAAATGGTGATATAATGATTGGGAGATATCCACTTACTAGGCCGAATCATGAAATATCATGAAATATCTTACTCGGCCTGGATCAGCCAGTATCTGATTGGTCATGATTGGCCATGATCGAAGAACATACGTATAAGGATTCGGGAGATGACAGGGATATAATAGGGATATCATATGGGAATATGATCTGGGAATCTACTATTTAGAGATATGATATGCGGATATGATGTGATATGATCTTGAGATGTCTGGGTTTGTCCACACATGGGACCTCCAAAATGGCAATACACATGGGACCTCCATCGGAGTAATCGAGGTACCCAAGAAAAGGACTCCATCCATCTGGAGCCAGAACTATCACCAAGTGCTTCGCTTGAATTGGGCGACTCATATCCCATTTATGCTCCATGGTGCTGGAATATTTGCCAACATTTGCCCTAAAAATCACCCAGTTTTGTAGGCAAATATACCATACATGTATGTGGGTGGTGGAGAACATGTTTCTTTTGGGAGGCGCCAGCTGCGCCAGCTTCCAAGGTGTGACCAATGATGATTTCCGGGGAGAATGGGGTAAATACCAGGGAATTCTGCACGACGTCAAACAACGAGAAGGATTTGATGTTCAATTATGTTGCTAGGGTGTTAACCAGATCATGTTACATTCTACATATCATATAATCAGAACATGTCGCTTCAACATATCACATGGAATTAACTGTACAGGCATTAGGGTTTCTTATAGTGTTTCAAGAATATATCAAAATCCCCCGGCCCAATGGAACAATTAATCATACAGTCATTACGGTTGCTGTTTAGCAACTTGCCCAGGTGGGTATAGCCGTGTATGGTCCACCAGAGGCAATAACTCAGCCACCACTCGATTTTTTTTGTGGGATCATTTGAGCCTTACCCATACATGGCCAAAGACTGTAGGAACATCTCCCGTACGCGTTTGCACTTGCAGGTAGTTGTCAGCAGTCCCTACCAGTTAGAAGAAAGAGGGACATGTCCGGGTCAGGAGAGATGCATATTCCAATATGTTCCAAGAAGAAGAATGAATGGGATTTATTGGGATTATCTAACCGCAACTAATTCCAATATTCATTGGATCCCATTTACCATCATTTACAATTATTAAATGGGCCAACTGCTCTTGAGACTTTAGTAGTCGGAACCATCTCAGCAGCCCAGCATGACCTGGAAACTTGTGTTACGTAGGCAATGCCAGTGCTTCTGGCTATTTCGCACTTCCATTTGAACATTTTGGATGTCACAAATTCCATCAAAATTCCACCAAAATTCCACCAAAATTCTATCCGTTCAAGTAGGAACAGGCATGAACAGAGCATGTTCAATCGGTGTTTGCATCTACGAACCTGATCCAAAATGCAGAACGTTTATAATTTTCGCATAGTTTCGCCTGCCATGCTGGCGCGGGAGCTGAATGTGCTCCCTGAGCCATCAGGCCTGGAGGGTCATGTGGGTTGCCGTTGACTCATTGAAGAAGGATGGTCCTGACCTGGTAGAGGTTGCTACCTGATGGCCACTTCAGCAAGGCAGATTGGTGATACAATTTCATTTTTACAGCGACCTCACAGCAACCTCACAAAAAATCATGTTGAGAAAGCGGAACTATCCCTCCAAAATCAGTCATTGCATTCTATGTCCAGTTGCTGAAATAACATTGAATTAGTTCCAGCCTGCCTCTGAGGTGTTGAGCGCCCGCAGGACTAGCTGGGACCCGGTACTTGTTTGACATAGATCGATATAGTTTGTGCTAAGGCCAATAATATATAATTTATATATAATTGTATATAAACATAAACAAATAGAAACCATCCCCAAAATCACCATACATGGATGGTATAAAACAACTATCCCCAAATGGTACATTTATGTTATGTCATTGGGTTTCCCACGTTAGCTACCATAGGTGATCAGAGATGCATGGATATGGATGGTTACTTGTACATTCTATGCAGATAGATACCGGAGATATCCGTACATGGATGGTACATACATACATGCATATATATATATATACTAATAATATTATATATATATATATCATTTATATACATGTAACCTCTTGTTATTTGGATAGTATCAGTGACTTATTAAAAGATAGGGCCAACGGGGTTTTGAAGAGTTCCCCTCTCCGAAGCTTTGGCTCAACCGTCCCGGGTTGCCGCTGACAACATGGCGGATGCGCCCTGGGACGATGCCGAGGTTGCCCGATCGTGTTGAAGTCTGAAGATCAAGAGATGGGAAATCATGGGAAAACCATGGGAAATCATGGGAAATCATGGAAAATCATGGTTTGCCATGTCTGATTGATGTGGTAAGCCTCAGGATTCCGACTCCGACAGTTCGGGTCCAGCCTTTGACTCAGAGGATGAGGTGCGGCAGTGCAGGTGTCCCCCATTAATAACATCCATTATGTATATAATATATACAGGGCACCCGCAGCTTGGGTATGACATTTGGCGCTGACGCTGACGACGCATTGTGACGACACATCCCCTGACGACGCATTACCCCCTGACGACGCATTGTGACGACACATTCCCTGACGACGCATTGCCCCCTGACGACGCGTTGTGACGACACATTCCCTGACATGGAAAACCGTGGTAAACATGTAAACCGCTGTTTTTTGTTCTATTTGTCTTTGATTGGTAGATTCACAAAATAGTGCACTTTGACGACCATGCAAGCTCATACAACCTCACCCAGTGTTCAGTTGAATCTCAAGTGGGGCATCTAATTGATCAGTGAGGCTCTGATCGTTGCGAGTGGCCAGTGGACAACAGATGCGGCACTGGCTTACAACATCCTTCAGAGCTTGGCCATCACGGTGAATGTGCAACTTTGCCTACTCTGCTAGGTTTTTTAGTGCGGAAAAAGTCCATGCGGATCCATGCGGTGTAAATCTGTCGAAGATTTTGATAAAGCACCAATGGTTGATTCCCAAATTGAAAGAAAACTCCATGCCAAATGCCATTGAAGTAAGCCTAAGTGGTTGTTGGTTCTGTGTTTTTTTTCCTCCAGTGCCTTGCAATAATAGCAACGACTAAGTCCCCCATTTATCCCCCTTGGCTACAGAGTTGCCACAGCGGCATCCACTGCAGGCAGTTCAACTGCAGCTCCCAGAACTCTATTCCCAGCGGTGTCTTGCCGAGAAACTGCAGCAAGGCTGCTATGTGTTCGGGTCACCCGTGGAGGGAGTGTTTATACAGTATGTTTCAGCCTGAACATTGTAGTTTGCCACGAATGTAGATTTACTGATTTACTGTGTATATTGCGTTGGATTTTTTTTGTAATTTTCATATTGCGTGATATTTGGAAACATATGGGGATATATACCAAGCAAGAAAACTTTGCAAACGTTCATTGTAAGGATATATTGAGATCGGAAGTGTCCGTATTTGGTCACACAACCCTGTCGTCCTACAACGTTTGGGAGATCGAGCGAAAGAGCTGCAGAACGTCTGTGGTGAGAGCCATAACTTGCAAGTGCTGCTGGCCAAGTGCCCTGGATGCGAATGAAACTGGGGTGGGAAAGAAGGACTGGAATCCCAGAAGAGAAAATCCACAGGTAAGTAAAAGTAAACCAAAAAAAGCAATCGTTCACTTTCACTAGGACAATCATCATTGGCAACTCGTGTTCGTGTGTTTGTTTTCTGCTTACTTTCCAAGGGCAGGACATCCTTAATGCCCAGGTACCCCACTTTGAGCGCTGCTGTGGATGTTCCAGATCCACCATCTCCTGAATGGAAACAGGTGCTGGCACCTTGCCAGCCCTGGGGGAGCAATGGTCAGTGGGTTGGGCGTTCCCAGGAAACTCTATAGGCCTTCAATCCGGTTTTAATCCCTTCCTCCTAATACTAAACCCCCCCCCCCTAATACAAAACACGGCAGGTAGTTTTTAGTATTAGGGGGGTATTTATTATTAGGGAACCAAAATATTGCCAAAAATGGCAGTTCGAAGCTTACCCCTAATACTAAATTAAAACCCTTAATACTAAAAACTATTTTTTCCGATCTCAAAATCAATTAAATTTCCTTATATAACGCAATTAAAATATTGCCAAAAATGGCAGTTCGAAGCTTACCCCTAATACTAAATTAAAACCCTTAATACTAAAAACTATTTTTTCCGATCTCAAAATCAATTAAATTTCCTTATATAACGCAATTAAAATATTGCCAAAAATGGCAGTTCGAAGCTTACCCCTAATACTAAATTAAAACCCTTAATACTAAAAACTATTTTTTCCGATCTCAAAATCAATTAAATTTCCTTATATAACGCAATTAAAATATTGCCAAAAATGGCAGTTCGAAGCTTACCCCTAATTGCTAGAGTAGCCAGGCAGCTTGGAGTGAGGGATTGGGACTAGGCCCCCCTAATACTAAACACCCCGGGGTGAACTAGTTTTTAGTATTAGGGGGGAGAACCCACAAATGGTAGGTTGATTTTTAAATTGTTTTTTAAAGGGGATCAATTAAAAGTCAAATTGGCCAAACTGAAATTTTCGGAAATTGGAGATGGATGCCTGTTTTTAGTATTAGGGGGACGTTTAGTATTAGGAGGAAGGGATTATTCTCATGATCAACCATAGGTTTTCAGGGCTACCTCATTTTCAGACACACTTATAAGGTGTTCATGTGTTGTTTGTTTTTTTGCTTCATGTTTTCTTGACTGTATTTACAGTTCTGGGACAGGATCCTAAAGGAATATGACCGTTTGACGCGCATGTCTTAATTTATTTATATCGCAGGCTTATTTCTTTCCCTTCTGTCCCTCCCCGATTTGGTTGATGGCCTTGGTGTTCCTGCCACACAGTTGGTCCCAAGTCCGGTTTGCCAGATGCACTGTTTTGCTCTCACATGTTATTTGTTGTATTTCTCACTTGTTCTGTTGCAGGGTAACTAGGTGGCCGTTGCAATGCAAGGATCAACCCTTCAGGCATTTCACTGGATTGCCTTATCTGTTGAGATGTTTGGCGCCCAACCAAACATAAAACAGTCCGCTGTATGTGATTTTTGCGCCCTCACGAGTTTATTGCTGCAACCAAGGCATATGTTGTGACCACCCGTCACACCCATCGTTTGGCTGCAACCCGGGAAGTACTCAGCAATCTCGGTGTCACTGCAGTCACTGCAGTCACTGCAGTGAAGGAGATGTAGCTTGCCTTTGATGGATTCAGCGTGTGTAAACGTTGACCCTCAAAGTGGCCACTAAGGGGTGCAACCAATGAAACATGTAGGAAGATGGTGGCCAATGATGTGTTCAGATTTGTTCAGGGGGAGGTCGATTGTGGTCGATTCCATGGACCCCATGGATTTGCGAAGGGTTGACTAACCAACATTCCAGAGGTGCGTCAGCTACTTGTACCACGGGATGTGTTGGTTTGTGATAACCCCGAACGTAGTTGAACCATGTTGAACCCAACTCACAAAAACGCCAGGCTAGGCAGTTGATCTAGGTGTAGGTGCATGGCACGGGTTGAACCACCGATTTGCCACTGGGGGAGGAGGAGGCCTTAGACTGAATTAAATCATGTGTGGGATTCATTATAGATATTTATAGATATAAAGCACCAATATCAAGTTCACCTTTCCAGTTCACCTTTCCTGTCGCATGACAACATGTTTAATTACAAGTTGTAAGGTATAAGATGAGCGGTGATTGATACACATATTATGCCAGTGCATGTGCAATGTGGCGTTAGAACTGAAGAAATGATGATGTGGATCGCTTCTGCTCGTATATGCAATGTTGCATGCTACAGATTTGGGGTCATTACACTTGAATCGCCTGCATCCAGGCCATTACGTCAAGTAGACTTTGGAAGCTCGGTGGCGTCGAAGAGGGGGAGATGTTTGGTCAATGGAATGGATGTGTTGGAAGGTCCCAAAAGACCCGGTTAATCAAGAAGCAACTAATGCCTGCTTGGCCCCAAGAATCCGGGATTGATTTGATAGCGACTAATAAGGGATTGTTTCCAATATGTGCTCTTGACAATGATGTAGTCAAACGCCATCGTGATGGTCACCGACGGTCATCCCCGGTGGTCATTTTTTCACTTGTGCCGCTGACTATCATTCATGTTCGTATACAGTGAACAAGCAACAACACTTTAATGATCTTTAATGTGTCCTCCCCAAAGAGAGCAAATGAAAACATGCGCCATCCACAAAGGTCCACGGAGCACGCCGCGTACGCCCATGGTTTTCGTCATCTTTTTGGATCCCGGCGCAGAGAAGCTGCACGAGGATCCCAACTCGGACTGGCGGAAGACGATGGACAGACTTGACTTCAAGCAGGTCTCTCAAGTTCAGAACCGCATGAGCATGTGGGCCTGCAAAGCTGGCGACACAGCCCCGAGCATCCTGGAATTCAGTTCCTCAGTTGCAGATGTTGACTTATATATATATATTATAGACTTATATGATACGATATGATACGAGGTTGCTTCAAGCGGATGTGGCTTCAGAGATGCCCCAAGGTTACCAACCATCGTTTGGTTGGAGGTTCTGATCAGCACATATCAGCACCTTTACGTACGCTCTGGAACTGGGAGGAAGATCCTGGATGAGGTAACCAGGGCTGGTGTGTCCTACCCAAGGCCATTTGAGAGGATGGCATTGGCAACCTTGATGCTTAGAAAGTCAGTTGCACATTCAATCACATCCAATTATAATTATATAATTCTATAATTGTTATATATCGCTATGATTTTAACCTATCCCTATGCTTTGGCAATGTTCCCTTTGTTTTATCATGTGAATATGCAGTGTTCTTCATTCATTACCGGTGGATATAGGTGGCGCCGCTAGTTTTTTGTAGGATAAGGAGGCTTGTGTCCCCCTCTCTCTCTCTCTCTCGCTCCCTCTCTCTCTCTCTCCCTCCCTCCCCTTGCCTTGTTTGAATTGGAATGTCAACTTTTCAGTAGCGATAGTGCAGTTTATGCCAGAAGGGCCTGTGGCCAAAAGGAGCGACCATCAAGTCATGGATCTCTCATGACCTTTTTCTTGTTGTATGTCATATACGTAATGTGCATCCTGCAGCGGCTCACTTTTACACGTCATAACTTGTTTTGGTTTGTTTGTTTTCATCGATGCAGATCTCTATCAATCTGCCAATCTGAAGTGTGCGTGCTTTTTTGTTGTTTTTCTCTCTCGATATCTTTCCATGTCCCTATCGCTACTCTCTCTTGAACATTTCTCTCCCGGCTTTTGGGTTTTCGCACGAAAGGAGCGCCTATGTGGCATTGTTCCAAAGTTGCCAACAAAGTTCAATGCAACATCCTAAAAATGGCGATGGAGGGAGAGAGAGAGAGAGAGAGATCCTGAAAATTGCCAAGATATATCCAAAAATGCCAACATCTCTCATGCTTTGGGCCCTTCGTTTTGGCCCAACCACGAGATGTCACTGTCCCAAGGTGCGCGCCTAGAGCATCGAACCCTTGAGGACTTCCTGGCGCTGCGAGATTGTGCGACTTGTGAGCCCTGCCCTTCACCGACAGGAAAAGCTGGAGGACGACCGGAGGTCCTCCTGTTGGGAGGCGACGGCGACGAATCATTTGAGAGTATCTGGTTCTATGAACCTTGATTAATCGAGAAGCTGCAGGGTGATCAGGGTTGAAACTGCCGACGCATGCTACTCTAGTTTGCTCCATTTGGATCGTTTGGGTTGTTTCTTGCACTTGGGAGGGCCCAAAATCTTGCAAAAGCGACCAAACACAGGCGTACAATTGTAAGCATCAGATGGTCTACACAAAGTTCAGCTCTTTATGAACCTTTTGGACACATCGTGTTCAGGTGTCGGGCGGTCAGGGATGAAGGACTTGCCTTGACCATTTCAGATACGCCCCTGGAGTGTAGCATGAAACTCAACAAGGGCCTTTCCCGACAGGAAATTAGCTATAAATGATGTAAAATCATTGTTTTTGTTTACTCATATCACGCCGCTTCATTTTTCTTATATTATATTTCCCTTAATTCCAAATACTCCCAATACGGAGCCCCACTACATGAACAGATCCAACACTAAGCTCTGTGTTTCTCTTTGCGGTGGTATTTCATATGATTAGGGCAGGGGATTGTGTAACTATGATTTTGGTTGGTGGTTTGGAACACTTTTCATTTTTCCATATGTTGGGAACAATCATCCCAACTGACTAATATGTTTCAAAGGGGTATGTCAACCACCAACCAGTTGTTACATTCTAAGTACCCAAATATCCAGGTTTTTTCGGCATTTTTCGGGGATCCCATGAGTCACCGAGTCAGCGTTTTGCTCAGGAAAGCTTCTTCAAACACAAAGCCCCCGTGAGAATGAGAACCTGCTTCAACTCTCAATCTTTGAGTCGAAAAGTGGTGGAGGAAGAGGTCAAGGCCTCTATGCGGCGATTGTTTACGGATGAGGGCACCTGCTCGTTGACACTGGTTTCTGCAAAAGAATTTGATAGAGATGGTAGTTTCCTAATTTTGAAATGATGCACCCCAAAGCTATCCAAGTACAACTTGGTCAATACTTATCATTTTCAAACATGTTCAATGAGGAACACCAATTGGTGATAAGGGCTACCCCAATCTTAGGAAAGCCACGAATGCTGAGTTGGGGGATGGTAAAGCCCTTGAAATGTGTATGATATATCATATTATACTTGAAATGTGTATGATATATCATATTATACCTATAAATATGTATACTGTATATATAATATTATATATTATGTATATAATATCACGTTATTAAGTTATCACAACGTCCTATGCATTCTGATTTATGTGTGTGTGCATTTCTGGGAACTGCTGAGCCAGTGGTGACACCAGAAGCCTTCAATAAGGTTCTTGTAGGGCAAGGAGATGAGGATGGCGGTTGGCTCCTGCAGGATAAGGTCTTTCAAATGCGTGACTTGTGCAATCTTTGGCAGCAGGTGGGAGATCAATCAGGAAAGCCAACAGACAAACCCGTGCTCATCCTCGTTGACACGTGTTATGCATTGAGGCTTGGCTTAAGATAGGCAGATAGGCAGTCCGTGCCGTCCGAGCTCAGAATTTCTGCATTTCTGGCTGTCAGAAATTCAATTCCTGTTGCCACGGCGGCCACGTTAGGAAATTTCTCGATGAAGGCCTCAGCAGCCTCAGCTCCTTGCCCAAGACCTGGATTCTTCAGCTCAGCTGCTCAGCCACCGAGACTATCACTAGCTGTGACTTTGCAGCGTCTTTTGTGCGAAGCCAAAGCCCGTCCATAAGATTTGCGGGTGACGTGGAGCTTTTGCAAACGCTTCCTGTTCAGCCATCCTTCTACAATCGCGCTGACGGAAACAGAGTCCAACTCGCAAACGACTTCTTCGTCGAAACTTGTTGAAACAGATTCCGGAATTGATTGCCGGTGTGGGACTGTTGGGTTGGAAGACGCTTCTACTTGTTTGGTCTGGTAGAGATGATTGTTATAGTGCCGCGAACCCAATGCCATAAACCCATCCGCTATAGAGGTTTATTGTTGCTGGGTATACTGGTATACCCCACGTTGGGAAGTTGTAAAACTGGCCCGCAAATGGTTAGTCAATGGGACGGTTTGTTATTGGGTTTACCACATTCTCGAAAATTGTCAAATTTGCATTGGACATTGAGTTCCAGGAGTGAATTCCCTTGGTTGAAGAGCAAGCTTTCAACGCTTGACATTCAAACTTGCGAGCGCCCCTCCGAGTTGCAACAAACTCGGGATCGCAGGGACGCAGGGATCACACCTTTTCCAGTCTCGTTACTTTTCATGAGCTTACAAGACTTTGTGGCATTTTCCGGAAATACTTTTGGGGTGCTTCCCACCAATCTGTGGAATGAGGTAACCAATCATTCCTCGCAAAAAAAAATGGAAACCTAAAGCCACACAATTCCCGAAAGGGAATCATCATAAGAATTATGACCACATCACTTGATATTTAGGATTGTCCTGTCTCAAACATGTTTCAAAGTTATCAACCCGTGGAATCAACACAAGAATCCCACCCAGTTATTATTCTGCTTTTCGCCACCTGACCCGGTGATAATATGACCTGGCTAAATCTTTCTTTGTAGATGATTCACCGATGATATGTTTTTCTTGGGAAGCTCCTGCCATGTGAATTTGCCAGGGTAATTGTATCATACAGTACTTGTTGTTGGGGCATCCAAGAGTTCCAATCTCACACTTCAGTACAGTAAATCCCAGGAGTTGATGGGTGTACAGCTGCCACTGATGGAGAGAGAGTCGGGTGCACTTTTGGATGATGAGAGCGACTGCAGCAGTGTGAGCACGGCCGACACTCGAAGGTTGTGTCATGAGGCTGAAAAAAGGCAGCCCAGAAGTTTCTTGGCACAAAAAAGATGTGGGTCAGAATGGCAGTGGCGCCATGGGCAGTAAATCAGTTGGATGCGATTTATTCAGGTTTAGGATCCATTGTGAACTTCCAAGTGTTGTTTTGTGATGTCTTTGCTCATGGTAGTGAATAAGAAGTGTACTTAAGGTATCTTGAGGAGGCTGCTTTCTGATTCCCAGCCTGGGAACTGAGGGTTTTAATCTGTTTCAAACATGATGTTTAAACTTACCTAGCTGTATGGTCAATGTGGGTGACAGTCACCCGTGATTACGTGGTCATTTGCTAGCTAGTGCGGTATGTGGAGACATGTTGAGTATAAGGTGGGAGCTTGTGTCATATTGGTGGCAAAGTTACAAGGGGTTTGCGGTGGTGTTGTTGTCCTGATCACTCCATACAATGTTCCTGATTTTTGCTGGTGGCGATGTGGCCGCTGGTGCTGCATGACATTCACTGGGCAACCAGCACCATGGTTCGTGTTGTTATACAGCTGTGGTTGTTGCTGAGGTTTCCCCTGTTTTCTCAGTTTTCTGGCATGATCCAACCGGAAGGCTACCTGCAAGAACTTGCTCTCGTGCATCATCAGAGGGACAAACCAACTCTGGAGCACTTTGTGACCGATATCCTATTGAAGAATGTTCCAGCCACTCAGTGGTATTCGGTATTCGTAAGAAAATCAATTTTGGAGGGTGGTGCAAAAGCATGAGGGAAGACCAAAAGGGTCCATGCACAAACGTCTATATAAATACTTCAGGTGGCTAGTAGTTCAAAACGTATCCAAAACATAGTTTGTTTTTGAGGGATTCTATACTTTTCGAATCCGGTGACTGGAATGATTGGCCCTCAATTGACTTTTGTTTGACGGGGTGAAATCACCAGACAGTTTGGGAATGGCTCCAATTCGTGAAACGTCAAAAATTCAGCCATAGATGTTCAGAGGGGTTTCCTCTATCTAACCCAGGGTAGGTGATAACAGTAGGAATCTATGATCATTAATTATAATATATATATATACACGTGAGCTCACGTATTTATATATGAATTCTATAGTAGCATTATATAATCCAGAGTAGACTCAGATGCTCGGAGTGGCCCCCTCTGTGTTTTTTCCCACCCGCTACAATCGTAACACATGTGACCATCCTGGGCCAAGGGCGGAGCGCAGCAGCTCATTCAGCTTCTCGACAGAAATTTGGAGCCCCCCCTGCGCCGTGTCTGATGGTCTCACGGAAACCAAAATTATGGTTTTGGGATGGTTTGGGAGTTTGGGATTGTATTCTGGTTGGTGGTTTGGAACATGAATTTTATTTTTCCATATACTGGGAATAGTCATCCCAACTGACTTTCATATTTTTCAGAGGGGTTGAAACCACCAACCTGTATTGTTTGGGAGGGTTTTAGCATTCAATATATTTCATCAACTGTCAGCTGTGGTTGTGGCTGTACGTCGCTGCGGCTGCACGGACAATTTTTCACCTGGTTGGAATCCTGGTTGGACTTTGGGCAGTTTCTATCTTCCTGGCAACGGTTGTGTATCATTTCGGGGGCCCGAAATAGGGGGCCCTTAAGGGGACCCGGTTCATGACCGGTTTGGCTGATGTTTTTGCCCGCCACCAAGCTGCAAACAGCCGAGCCAAGGCATCCAAAGCTCGAAGAATTTCTCGAGACTTTAGAGACATTGATGCGGCTTCTTGGCCAAGCATGGCCAAAATATATTTGAAGGAACATGTGGAAGGAAGGCCGTTTTTTTCTTAAGGCACCCAAAGGCAGACATATCCAAACATGCATACCGACTGCATACGTCTTAGAGTATTCAGTCAAAGGTCCAACAAGTGAGCCTTTCTTGGGTTGACTTTCCGGCTGGTGGTTTCATGGTTTGATTCTGTTTTGATCATTTCCAACCACCCAAGGGTATTCCCCCAACACGTATTTTTGTTGGCCACAATCAACCCTTCGGAAAGGATTCCTTTCAGAGGAATCCTTAGACCATGATGATTGGGATAATCATCCACCATTATACCTCATCTTGGAGGGTGAAACCGCCAACAAGCTTTAATTGACACGAATGACCGAATGACCTGTTTTTTCCTTCGAAACAGGACCACCCGATTGGGAAGATGCCATAACTTGATTGGCACATTTGGGAAATGATATAGAACATATTAACATATGTCTGGATTTTCTGGTGTAGATAGAGTATGGCTCAGGTTCTGCCTTTGGAAGTGGTTCAATGTCAGCATATTTTCTCCCAATCCATCATGCATAGCCAAGGGGTGTGTAAATTCCATGTTTTTGTTTTCCTCACGTCCGAACGGTTGTTGATGGACATATGGCTGGTCGATGTTCAACCGGGATGTTTGACCAGCCTTGAAAGCCCGATTCATGGGGCACCCCCAATGAGGATTTTTCTTGTTAAAATTGCTATTTTGGAGTAGTATAATGTAGTATACCAAACATAAATAGATGTGGAAAACCCATGTTTCCTAGGAACATTTTGCAAAGATGGGAGGTTTTCACACCTATGTTAGTTTACAGGAGGTACCCCATTTGGTGGACACACCATCATTAGCACATTTTGTTCGCGCATGGTCATGTTCTTCGTTCAATATATCCCTCCAAGTCCCAGGCCAGTTTCTACGAGAGGTCCGACGAACAACGGCGATGCCAATGAGATCATTACAGAAGTGTGTTCCTGGTTTGAGCGTCTGGCGGTACATGCCGGTTTTGACCATTAAAAACTAAGATGTCACATGAGTTCACCATGTTACTTTGAGATTTAGCGGATATAAAATCTTGGTTTGGCAAGTAGGTTCATGCTCCCCTAATTTCATCACCAACGCCAAAAAAAAGACAAAACCAGGGTTCCGTTTGGGGGAGGGATTGATATTGGGGGAATGGAATTGATTGTTGTTTTTATTCATGAGGTGATGCTGAGTTGGGAAGTTGGGAATTGATCAACAAACATGTTATTGTTCTTTTGTGCAACACTGCGGGTAGAACCTTCAATTGGCCGGTACTTACCTAGATATTTTGTTGTTTTGTCCCTTTGACTGTCATGATTTCAGTCAATTGACTTGAATTTCTGGGATGGTGGTTGCCAACCAATCATTGTTTCCCCGTATCTTCAGTCGATTGCTGAGATGGTGTCATCTTCTGGCGACTCAGGTGATTGGTGGCGTCAGCGGTCTCACCTCACGATGGACGATGTTCTCAGCGAATTCCTGGCGGACTTTGCCAAGAAGATTCCGGTCACAGACGTGGAACTGTCAAGTTGACAAGTTCGAACATTGCCCCATGACAGTGGCGGGGCAGGAACAAAGGTGAACCTCCACTGGTTGACACCGGGCTGTGGGTCAAAACATGAATATTTCCAATGAATATGTGAGATAGCAAGCTCATTTGCAAGACAAAGTCCAATTCCATTTGTTCCTTTGTTCTGCCTTGCAGTTCATTGATCTTTTCTAAGACATTCTAAGGTGACCATCTCAAGGGGTTAAGTTCCCCCAAACCAGGTGATAACACATGATAAAAGGTCATGTTCGATGGCCTGGGGTTGGTTTTCAGTGTTTGAACTTTGAGACAAGCTGCAGGGCTAACACACATTATTGGGGATATTGACCTGGCTTCGACCAGCAGAACGCAGATGGAATCATTTTATCAGAATCCTGGCTGATCAGTGCAAAAATGGTGTCCTGAGTGACCCTCCTTGATACGTCAGATGGTTTGATCATGTTTGATCCATAGTTCATTGTCTATAACTGCTCCAAAAAAGGGCGGAGTTTTTCTCTCAGGCAGCCGTTGAAGCTTGGCAATGGCTTGACAATTCCAGAAATACAATTGAACATGATGAACATGGCTGGTTTTGTTCACCACTTGACAACCGCATAATGAAGCTTGGGATGTCAGAAGCATCAAAACTAACAAAATTAGGACATAGAACGAATAAAATGAAGATTTGGGACTTCAGGCACCTGCAAAGACCAAAAAAAAAACACCATGGTTTAGGGAATGAAGATTTTGGAATTTCAGTATCAAACCTCGACCACATTTGACCACCGAGATCAAACCAATAAACCTAGGACGTCAGCATCAAACATGGGCCAAATGGCACAATGAAGCTTTCACCAGTTTGATGATGTGGTAAATCCAATATCTCACGCAATATCACCCCAGAATAAACAAACATCCCCACATGTTACAGTATCAGAAATGGGTTGTAAAAGTTTAAGCCATCCAAATTTGCAGGTTCTTTAAAGGTAACCAGCTGAAGTCGCAATCCGCTGATGTCGGCTGATGTCCAGACTGGGCCTTCACAGCTGGATCTGGTGGAGTCAATTACTCCCAGGCGTCAAGTGGCCAGTTTACTACCAGGGTGTACCAGTTTAAGAAGTAATTCATCACTATTAGTGGGGTAGCTCCCTCAATTAATCAGAATTAATCAGTAGTTAGCCAAACAAAAACTTCCAGGGTTGACGGTCAGAAGCAAACATGCATTTTCCATCATGTTCCTGCAAACATAATGGTCCCACACTTCTCCTCATGTGAATACCCTGAAGTTCTCAAAATGATGTAGCTTCGGATGCTTTCACAAGGGTTGGTTTTGACCAGTATCCATGTTGGACAAACTGTTGAAAAGAAACTCAAAGATGGATCACCCTGTTTCTGCATGAGACAGTGGAGAGTCCAAAAGAAGGGCCACAATTGGGTTCTGCCAATGTTTGGTTGGACTTGGCCCCCACCCATTTTCTGGTTAGATTCATGCCGTCCGTGATCCCAGGGGAAAAATACAGTAAACTTCTCGTTTGCCTGGCAACACCATGGTTTCCTCCCAGCACCGTCGGTGGAAGGTGTCAGTTTGTGGACCCAGTGCGCGTTGAATGATGCTGGGCTGCTGCTTTCAGTTTGTTTGTTTCATCATTTCAGCCCCAAGGTGGGATAGAATATGGTTTTTCCGCTTGTGTATGCCATGTTTATCTTCCCAAAATGAGAGACCAGCATCCAATAGTTGTTGTGAAAAACAATGAGGGATGGGCTATGTGGGAGCAGCGCTTGAAGTTTAGGAAGTGTTGGATTTGGGGCATGAAGAACTGGATCGCTTCTGGCAAGACTATGTGCTGGACTGGTCTTCTCTTCACATTGACTCGGGAGCCTCGCTGGAAGATGCCAGATTTTTCATGAAGTGGACCTACATTTTGACTCAAACCGAGGAGGTTCTCCAGATCAAATAGGGGTCTGGAAGTAGGGCGACTGGATGGGTAGTATAAGTTTTGTACTGACTGATCTTTGGCTATAATTGTAGGTATTTACTGACCAGACATCGTATTTTGCAGGGTATGATCTAAGTTTGCTAGTGGGAGCTGGGACACTTACTACTAACTACTTTACTTTGTGGTTGCTGTGCTTCGCGTTTTCTCCACTTGGTCATTGGTACCCTTGTGCCCACGCTGTCATCTTGCATGATGGACAGCCGTGGGGCCCACGGCTCCGTTACCAACGTCTTCCATTACTCGTTTCGAGCATCGCACCTCTGGATACGAATGAACAATCATATGTTGGATCCACAAAAACTAGCCATCCACAATTTTTATAGTTATACAACTTATATATACAGTATATATATATATATTATAACTGCACATGTATATATATATATAATATTATTTAGATGTAATAAACATTAATAATCGGCTATATAATGGATATTGTATCTTAATCAACCCCTACTGTAGTTTTTAACGGAACCCCAAAGCCCTAAGCGTTGATCCGCCAGGTCCTGAAATCCGTGGCTTCGGACTGCCTCTTTGGTGTGTTGACGGTGCTGCTCCAGTCGCTTCCAGCCATTGATTACGAAAAAGGTCGAAGTGACACTGGGCGCTATCAGTTGATAAATTGAAGATAGATCACTTGATATATTTCCAGATATATTGAGATGTAGATATATATATATATATCACTAGATATACCCTCTGGTAAACGTTGCCACACAACGAACTGGAAAATCACCACCATGTTTCATGGGAAAACTCACGACATTTCGACTGGGCCATGTTCAATAGCTATGTTAAATTACCAGAGGGTACTTCCTGAGTTTGTGTAAGGTGATGATATATTTTCATATATTTTGCCAACAGGAAATCCATCGTGGGAATCTATAGGGAAGAAACCCAGCAAATCCAAGGCTTCGTATGTCTTCGGAGATGTTTTTTTTTTGTGCGTCCCGGGACCCAGAAGCTGAGGCAATGGAGCTGCATGATTCCTTCTCAGCCAAGTGCATTTACCAACATCTATTTCTGTAAATGTTGCAGATGTCATCCAACTAAGTATCTCTTTAAAAACTGTCAGTTTCATCCTTTTTAATCCTTTTTATCCAGGTAGTTCTTTAGATTTACCATGATTTACCCATGTAAATTCAAGGAAAGTTCCATCAAGTTCCAATGTCATCCACTTGAACTGCCTAGATTTTGGATGTAAAGTTCCATAAATATTCCATAAATCATATAATTATCAAAAATCCCAGATATGATTTATATAATGATTATCATCCAACATATGATTTTCTGGGATCATAAATCCTCTGTGGATCCGATGGCCACCGTCCTCAGGAAGCTTTGGAGGTGTTGGAGATCACGGAGGATTTGGTGGCCATCCTGGATGAGTGTCTCAGCATGTGAATTGGTATGTAATTATATGGTATATAATGATGATCATGTTGGTATGTAATTATATGGTGTAGTTATATGTGGGAACATGATGATAAACAAAACATGGTATATATACTTTATGGTCTATGGTTTAGGTGTAGGTTAGTATTTTAACATGTTGTTTAGCTTGTTGACGTTGATTTCACGTAATTTTATCGTAGTTTATCAACCTAAGCCTAAACCTATGATATAAAATGCCAGACCTCCCTAAATCTTTGACTACACGGAACAGAATTCATGAATGGATGCAATTAGAGGAACATATATAAGTTTTCTCCCAAAGGGGAAAAGGGATAGATCATGATAGATCAATGATTTTGTTTCGCATAAACAACACCTTTGACCTGCCCAAGTCACTGGTGCGTGACAACCACTGGAGCATTTGTTTCTCTTGCTTTAGGTTGATATGTTTTTGGCAGGTTGCCTAGAAGTTGCCATGAAGGTCAGAACAGTGGTCCAATATGTGGCGTAAATTGAGTTCTGTAAAGACGATCATTTGACCAGATTTATTAGAAGGATTCATGAAGACATTGCAAAACTCTCCAGCCGTTTAAACAGTTTAAGATGTTAAGTTCAAACCTCAAGCAATATCAACAGGCTTCCGGACCCCTTCGTCTGGTTAGAATGTCTCGGTGGTTTGTCGCAGTTAACCGCTGGCTGTAAGCAAATAATGATGATCCCTGATTTCATATAGCACCAGCCAAAAAAAATACAACAACAGCCCGCTAAGATGCTCAATTACTTTTCTAATCTGCTATGATTTTTGGGGGTTACCTAGTACCTAGTCTATCTAGTCTCTAGTCTTATCGATTATATGAATATGTATTTGTTGTGTCTGTTCGGAACCCAGCTATGACCCACCCACACTTCCCAGGCAACCGGACAGCTCCGAGATCCGCTCGGTCGCCTCCGCTGCGGGCTGGGACGTGGAGGCCCTGCTGCGCACGGCGAAACTCTACGGGCGCGTGCTGCGGCCGCGAAGACCGGAGACGTGTCGATTGAAGGTCTACGTGTACCCGGCGCCAAAGACGAAGCTGGGTCTGAAGGGTTCAACATGTGGGCATCAGAAGTGGCATATTTTTGCATATGTTTGCTAGTTTGACATGTTGGAAGTATGAATTTGAGGTGGTTCGTCTTGTGCTTTGGCAAACAAACGAGGGTGGACCCCACAATCTCCTACTAGTATTATTATATACACATTTGGTTTGGAAACCAATGAACACCCATCATGTCCAGTGGGTTTCGTTTTGTTTTCGACTGCCAGCTGCTGCCACTGAATGCCACTGAAAGACTTAGGAGAACAGCTACCAGAAGCCTTTTGCATGATGGAAACTACTTGAATGCTATGAGTGCTGGGATGCCACTGCAGTGCCTAGGTGAGATCACAGTGGATTATTTTTATCATCGGAGTAATCCTACCACTCACAGGGAGGGGGATCTATGGAACACTATGCAAGTGTTTTCATGTGTTTGTGACCACTACGTAGAGCGGGGTGAGGGTCAAAGCTTTTGGAGGGTGAAGCAACCCTCACCCACCTGTGCTTTTGCACCCACACACATTGAGCCATGATGTGGCCGATGCGGAGGTGTTTATTCGGCATGTACGGCACGGAGCTGCTATTTCATCAGTGGCTGGCTGGTGCATTGGAAGTTTTTCTTGGGATGTTCTGGGATGATTGTTAACCCGACTTTTTTCCATCCCAATCAATCTGCGGTTTGTATGGGTGTGTTTGCAACAAGAAGTTTGATGATTTATCAATGTGTTTCTATGATTTTCTATGTGTTTCTCATATTTTTCAACTACCGTATAACGCCATTTGGGGGCAAAATTGTTTTCATGGGTTTTGTGATTCCCCTAAAGGCCAGTCCGCAGCAACCGCCCAGCCAGCAGCCAGGTGGTTTTTGCAAGAGGCAGCTGCTTGCGAGTCGACACCGGAAGATGCAGATCTCTTCTACGTTCCGCCTCCTGACATATCAACGGGTGCAATGCGCGGAGGAGGTCGCAATTACTGCTGCAAGCGAACAAGCTTTTCAGGTTCATTTGGTATCATTTAGTCCATTTGATTGAACTTATCCAGGGTAGATAAAGCATGATCAAGTTGGTAGACTTTGTCCGCATGGATGGAGCAATGGGAACGGTAGGAACGCCACGTGGCAGAATGGGGTGACCGCGGGGGATTTAGAGCCTCTCCTCACAAGTTTACCGCTGAGACACCGAGGTCTTACTTCAAATGTATTGAAGTGCTAAACTACTTCGATCACTTTGATAGTGAGGAAACGGACGCTGGGATGGTAGTTGCAGCTGTTTTTGTTGCGGATTTTGTGGGTTGCAACCACTTTCGAACACTGAAGGGAGGGTATGATCCACGAGAGAAATGCCTATGCTCCCACAGATGATTGTCCAATTGACCAAGGCATGGGTGAATTTGAAGAGGGCCGCACACCAGAAATTCACCTGAATGAGCAATATCACCAGAGAAGCTTCCATTCGCACGAGCGAATTGGATCCCAAATGGCTACAAATGGCAGGAAAGCTGGCGTGCAAATTGTTCCTTAAACCTTAAAAATCATTTGGAATCCGTTGATTCAAGTTTTGGATAACTTGTTTAACAGTCTAAAACAGCAGCAGTGTAAGGAAGCGTCGAAGCTCTTCAACAAGACTTTGAAAGAGTTGGATGCTGGGAGCTGGCAGAGACGTGGAGGTTTGATGATATGGATCCAGGGGCTGACTGCACACCAGATGACGATTTATTAGAAAACAAAAATGGGTTTCATGTTCTAAGGATGAGTTGCTTCCATAAAAAATATATGGGATTTCTGGAAACACCAATGCTTCCACATAGCTGCCACATTTGCTGATCGCTTGCAGCGGCGGCATGTTCTTTGTTTTTTTCTTTCTTATCCTCATGTCTAAAGGTTATGGTCCCATTCTTATCTGAAGTAAATCCATGTTATTTTCACCAGATTATGTTCCTGTTGCATTGCATTGCATATCATCATCATCATCATCATCATCATCAGCAACATCATCCAGAACATGACCCCATGGATTGTCATTATAAATCCTAGGTCTGGAACTACAATGCTTTTCAAGATTATCAACATATATAAATAAATATATATATATATTGAACATATCATATATAAATCATCCAATATATATCCAATATGTATATATATATATATATCCAATATGTGTATATATATATATCCAATATGTATATATATATATATGTATATCCAATATTATTGGATTAGACAACCAGTTGACTCTGCAACCCCTTTGGCCAAAAGGCGTCAAAATGGGCCATCCCCCATTGCTGGATCATGTACCTATTGTGAACGGGTGACCAACCATGGTTGGTGTAGAATTTCAAAAATGGCATGAAATAAAAAGCTATTCAGATATATGTTGCTGTTTATTAGAATGTGCATCCTAGCTCGGAAAATGGTTTATAGCCAATATCATCTATTTACATATGATGTACAGTAACTAGGAAAGTCTAGGCATCACTGGGTATTTGCGAACACAGCTTTGACATGCCACGCCAGGTGCAGATCACATCTTTCTCTTCAGCTGGGGGCGGCACCCCTGCCGCATTCCGGCCTGGAGGGAGCCCTTGCAGTCGGTGATTCAACTGCAGGTGGAAGATCATTGCTACTTGGATTGGGCCGACTGAGGAACGGTGGCGAGAATATGGCAGACTCGGACTCCGAGATAGCGATGGATGGGTAAAGTGAGAGAGAGAGAGCGAGAGAGGGAGGGAGATAGAGAGAGATAGAGAGAGAGACATACACACATTAATATATGTATATATATATAAATATGTGTGTGGTGAATATATGGTTATATCTACTTTATGCTTATTTTCATGAGGGATTTCCATGAAGCCATGTTTGTTTCCCGGAGGGTAGTCCAAAAATGAGGGATCAATCAGCATGCTGAGACTTTGGCAGAGACAGCAGGAAATCATCATATACGGGTCAGGGTCGTCCAAAAGCTCCATTTGATATCATTCAGAAAATCACTTTTAACTGTTGGAATTTAGCTCAATTTTTCTGTAGCAGCCTAAACTATTGTCTTGTATAGTGACCCAATGAAACGCACTTTTTTCAACACATGTAAATACTGAAGTCAATTACGCGCTCCAGAGCGCGTAATAATGACAATGACGCGCTCCGGAGCGCGTAATCCATTCAAATAAAGTTCAAAGCCATTTAGTACCAGCCTAAGCTATTGTCTCGTATGCTGATCCCATGTAATTAAATGAAACGCACTTTTTTCAACACATGTAACTACTGAAGTCAATTACGCGCTCCGGAGCGCGTCATTATTACGCGCTCCGGAGCGCGTAATTTGTTCAAAGCCATTCAGTACCAGCCTATAGTATTGTTTCGTATATTGACCCACTGTAAGAAAAATGTACTGTTTATTCAATACATGTAAATACTGAAGTCAATTACACGCTTCGGAGCGCGTAATAATTACGCGCTCCGGAGCGCGTAATTTGTTCAAATAAAGTTCAAAGCCATTTAGTACCAGCCTATAGGGCCTATATCATTGGACCCAATGTAAGAAACATGTACTTTATTCAATACATTTAAATATACTAAAGTCAATTACGCGCTCCGGAGCGCGTAATCATTACGCGCTCCGGAGCGCGTAATTTGTTCAAATAAAGTTCAATGCCGTTTGTTACAAGCCTAAACTATTGTCTTGCATGTTGATCCCATGTAACTAAATGAAACGTACTTTGTTCAACACATTCAAATAGTGAAGGTGTAATTTACTTTAAATGGCATTCAAAACCATTTAACATCAGGCTACGGACTCCATATACCAACATCTTTGTTGGGGCCCTTGGGCTCAGATATGTTCAGATTCAGATTCATTCCGCAGCTTGATGCTACCATTACTGTGGGCATGTACATGCTCACTTTTATGAAAGCAGTAATCTACTTGTCTAAGTATGTTTTTTCAAATTGTTTATCATTTTTTGTTGGTGGGAAATGGAGACACTATAATGTCACGATTAAGTGTGGTTACATGGACTCGCCATTTTCTTCCATCTCCACTCCCTTCTATTGCCTGTTTGGCGCTGATGGTGATGTTTTGCATTTAGGGGAGGAATTGTCCCCACATGATTCCGCAGCTGGATTGGATCAGCCATCAGCTTCGATTGGCGGGGGAATCTTGGCAAAACACAAATCCACTCAATAAGGGAGTTAGGAAAAACCTAACTCCCTTGTTGAGTGATTCAAGTTGAATCACTCAAGAGGGTAGTTACGTTTTATCTGACTCCCTTGTTGGGCCCTTTGTGTTCCAATTGATGTCACCTATTCAACAAGAATTACTCAACAAGGGAGTTAGGTTTTTCCTCACTCCCTTGTTGACCCGTTCGACGCGAATCACTCAACAAGGGGGTTAAGTTTTTCCCTACTACCTAATTGAGTAGATTTCACTCATTGCCTAGGATGCCCGTTCAAGAAGAATCACTCAACAGTGGGGTTCGGGCCAATCCCCGTTCAAGAAGAATCACTCAACAGTGGGGTTCGGGCCAATCCCCGTTCAAGAAGAATCACTCAACAGTGGGGTTCGGGCCAATCCCGTTCAAGAAGAATCACTCAACAGTGGGGTTCGGGCCAATCCCCGTTCAAGAAGAGCCACTAAACAATGGGGTTCGGCCAATCCCCGTTCAAGAAGAATCACTCAACAGTGGGGTTCAGACCAATCGCCGTTCAAGAAGAATCACTCAACAGTGGGGTTCGGGCCAATCCCCGTTCAAGAAGAATCACTCAACAGTGGGGTTCGGCCAATCACCGTTCAAGAAGAATCACTCAACAGTGGGGTTCGGGCCATTTCCCGTTCAAGAAGAATCACTCAACAGTGGGGTTCGGGCCAATCCCCGTTCAAGAAGTATCACTCAACAATGGGGTTCGGGTCAATCGCCGTTCAAGAAGAATCACTGAACAGTGGGGTTCAGGCCAATCACCGTTCAAGAAGAATCACTCAAAAGTGGGGTTCGGCCAATCGCCGTTCAAGAAGAATCACTCAACAGTGAGGTTCGGGCCAATCCCCGTTCAAGAAGAATCACTCAACAGTGGGGTTCGGGCCAATCCCCGTTCAAGAAGAATCACTGAACATTGGGGTTCAGGCCAATTGCCGTTCAAGAAGAATCACTGAACAGTGGGGTTCGGGCCAATCCCCGTTCAAGAAGAATCACTCAACAGTGGGGTTCGGGCCAATCGCCGTTCAAGAAGAATCACTCAACAGTGGGGTTCGGGCCAATCCCCGTTCAAGAAGAATCACTCAACAGTGGGGTTCGGCCAATCCCCGTTCAAGAAGAATCACTGAACAGTGGGGTTCAGGCCAATCGCCGTTCAAGAAGAATCACTCAAAAGTGGGGTTCGGGCCAATCGCCGTTCAAGAAGAATCACTCAACAATGGGGTTCAGGCCAATCGCCGTTCAAGAAGAATCACTCAAAAGTGGGGTTCGGGCCAATCGCCGTTCAAGAAGAATCACTCAACAATGGGGTTCGCGCCGTTCCGCCTCCAAGAAGAATTGCGCAACAAGACAATAGTTTAGGCTGGTACCAAATGACTTTGAACTTGATATGGTGAATTATGCGCTCCGGAGCGCGTAATTTATTTTAGTATGTTTGTTGAATAAAGTAGGCTTCATGTCCACAATGGTTTAGGCTGGTACTAAATGGCTTTGAACTTTATTTGAATGAATTGCGCGCTGTGGAGCGCGTGATTTAGTTTAACTGTTGTTTAACAAATCGAAAGATACAGGAAGTTTCATGGATTCCATGAGGATTCCATGAGGTATAATATATTTGAGTTGATAGCGTGGCCTGGTATTCAATGGTTCTGACTATTGTTTAAAATAAATTGCACACTCCGGAGCGCATAATTTATTTGATTTCAATGAGGCCCAAAACAAATGAAAACCAGGCTAAACTATTCTCTTTGATATCAATCGGATGCAAATAAAGCATAATTTACTCAACAAAAATACTACAGCAAATATAGAGTTTCATCTCGAGGAAATCCAGTTAACTTGTCACTCCAGCCAAGCCTTCATCTTTGTAAAGCACCCTTTGGTGATCGAACTAACAAAAACTCAATAGTTAATAGGGGGAGTCCGATCTGTGTGCGAAAAAGAAATCCAGCTGATTGCCATCATTTGTTTGTTTGATTTTGTTTGTGGGACTCAGAATTTGGTTTCATCATTTGATTTTCAAGAGGGTCATTTGGACAACCCTGCGGGTAGAACCACCAAGCAAATATGGGATAGATACACATTAGTACCAAACATGGTAGTGTCTGAAAACTATCATGCACTACATTACAATTGTATGGATGGAACTGCACCCCTTGAAATATATGGTTTTCAATTCGAGAAACCACCGAATCATGCAACATTCACCACAAACATAATCATTATACTTCGAAGTTGGGAAACTTTATGGAACCCTTCATCTCTGTGGTTTCTCCACTTCTGTAGCAAACCTATAGTTGCACAAAAAGATCATACCTTGCAGCTTCTTGACACGTGTCGGGCGTATCGGACCCATTGGTTGGGATCATCCAGCCCCAGTCTGTGCATCCGAGGCGAGGATTTGAACTACCAAAGTCCAGAAGCAACTCGTTCTGGCAGAGCACAACTCACGGTGTTTCATTGGGAAGTTTGCGAAGTGGTACTTGCAACAACCTCAAACTCAAGCGACCTCGGAACAGGTGATTGGTTTTTTAAAGGTGTGTTAATGGGGAAATGATCCCAACATACTTTCAACTTAGGTTATGACCGTGAGTAACTCACAGTGGATCTGAAGCAGCATCGTCTGGGACCAGGGAAGACCTTGAAAAACATAAAACAAATTGTTTTGAACAATTTTTTTCTCGAAACAAACATCTTTGTTGGTATTGATGCATACCTAGGTATGCAATTTTTTCCAATTTTGATATCAAACATTTGAAATATCAGAAAGTGAGGTGGATGGTAAACTTTCAGCTGGCTTCTGCACGGTAAATCATTTGATCTGCAACAACCCAAGTCTATCCAATGATGGTCCTCCAATTGCCTGATGTTTTAGATCTTGTTGGCATGACCTGGTATCAATGGGATATCCCCTTACATAGCCCTTATATAGGCCTTATATATGGTAGGTACCTCCATTTTAGGATCCTGAAATTCCCATTGATGGTATGTTTCTTCCAATTCCCAGGATTCCCAGTGACAAAAACATGACATCAATACTCCTCCGCCTCCCAGTGAGACTACCAAGCCCAGCATCCCCATGTCGAGGCCAGTTTCAGCCGCTGGAAGGACCTCATCATCCCCGGCCACGTGGACCAGTGGCGCGTGGAGGCGCTACGAAAAGCCAACCGCCCAATGAAATCCAGGGATGTGCTGGTGGCCTTCCATGGTAGATCTGCAGAGAACACCGAAGCCGGGTTGTAAATTCCCCGGGGCCCCATTGGGCCATGGGATGAAACAAGTTGGATTTCATAACATGGGAAAAATGGGATATATTTGGACAATTTGGATCTATCGAGGGGAAAATGAAAGTTTGTGCTATATATATAGTGTTGCTGATACGGAGTTGCCTCATGTAATCTGAGGGGATGTTGAGATGGGGTGCAATGTTAACAGTGCAGCTCGGGGTAGAGAACTATAGTTTAGTTAGCTCACCAAGATCATGAATCGGTTTCATTCCTGCGATGATCTTCTACCATCTGGTTATTTAACAAAGCCATGGAAAACCCCTTATAAATGGAGGAATTAATGGGAAAATAATCTATAAATGGGCCATTTTCCATGGCTATGTTAAATAACCAGAGGGTATCTAAGTGGGGGATACCAGACAGTCACTAGCTCGCAAGTGTTGCCAGTGGGTTCACGACCTGCAGGACAATCAATCTGCTCAATGCTGCTAGTTAGGTCGTCACTGGCACTGTGGGCACACCAAAAAAGCCTAGGGTGCATTAGCATGCCACCATCGCCAAGGAGAGTTATGGCAACGTGACAATTCGCACAAAGATCATGCGATACTTGCAAGGCTTGCCTGGTGTGAGCGCCCTGGTTCTTTGGGTCATAGCAGATTCAGGGACACCCAAAAACCCAACCATGCAACCAGTGGGATGTTGAAGCTCAAGTGATGTTCACATGTTTAATTTGGTAATCACAGCACTAGACAGCACTAGACGGGACTAGTCACTAGCTTATAGCTTTCAGTTTGTGTTGTTGTTTTGTTTGGTGATGGTGAAAAAATCTGTGTTTTGAATTATCGCACTTCAATAGAAGTCTGACGCTTTCTGCTGACTTTGCTGACATTGCTGACGTCTAGCCATGTCTAGCCATCAAAGCCTTTAAGGTGTTGGTGGCTTCGTCGAGGAGTATCACAAGTTGATGGGTCGCTCGCGCTTTTGCTTGGCCCCTCGCGGCATCACCCCCTGGACCATTCACCTGTTCGTAGCCATGCTGGCTGGGTGCATTCCAGTGCCTGAGCTGCCTGAGCTTTTAAAGGGGCTGGGTACCGGACCAGTGGACATCATCCACCTGAAAATGAATGATATATATATATATGATATGTGGATAGATGTGGAGAATTGCCATCAGCATAACTCTGATTTTAGCAAGCAAATGCTGGCACAGATATGTCACATATGATATATCCAGGGAAGCGGGGCGGATGGCTTTTCTGAACATGGCAAATCTATGACATGACCGTCAGCAAGGTTGACTCAAGCTGTTGGATAGGCCAGCTTTCAACTGCGCAACTGAGGTGATTCTGTCAGATGATTTGGAAGCGCCATTTCAGGATTTGCTTGACTGGTCCAGTTCCTTGTCATTTTAATTAAGCAGCTGGATTATCAGGGACGAAATGGGCAGTTCAGAGTCGCCACATCGAATGCCGCGAGTTTTTGGTGTAGGTTGTGTGTAGATTAGGGTTTTTAGACATTGGATCAAAAGACAAAAACAGTGGTGCTGTGGGGGCTGAGACAATTTCTTGGGGGTGTTGAACCATGCAGGCTGACGAGACCAGGGTTGGACCCCTGGAAAGCTGGAATCCTGAAAGCCTTCCATGACAAAGGATGGTAGACTAATGTAGACTAGGTCCTGGGATGGTCCTGGGTAGTGAATTGCGGTCAATCTCTTCGGATTCATGTTTTCTGTGCACATTGACCACATTGTCAAAAACCAGGAAGGATGGTTCATGTTATTCATGTTCATTTGATATTCTTTGATATTCTATGATATTCCGTCTCATTATGTTCACTTTCGACTCTTGTACCGAATGGATGTTGATGTTGATGGACAATTGGGGGACTTCCAGCAAGGCTTCTCCATCAAGTGGCCCACAGAGAGGGTCCAGGACCTCTATGAGTACCTGAAATCGCTGCCAGTGGACCTCGTTTCGGAGATGAAGACCGCCGTGGATCGCTGCTTGGATCCGAAGCTGCATGGCTCAGATCCTCAAGATCGCAATGGAACTGGGAATCTCTTTGAATTTCATGACGTACTTACAGTAACTCAGTAACTTATTGTGAATAGACACAAAAGATCTAAATCCAAGGTTTAGTTTAGGTTTGAACATGGACCCGGTCATTCTCCGATGGGTAGGATTCCTATCAAACACCCTCACCATAAATCAATGTTTGGGATCCCATACATGGTGCAATAAGGGGGATGAGAAATCAGCCACCTAGGCAACTCCTGTTGGTTCGACTACTACTCACCGGAGCCCAACTGCGGTCCTTTCACCGCCGTCAATCTCCTGCTGCAGAAGCGCGTGGCGCAACGTCCCAGCTTTGCGGGGCATTTTTGGGCGCCGTTGGTAGGGTGATTCCCAGTGCAGTTCAATCCTGCAGCCCAAAGAGTGCCATTATTGATTTTCCAAAGCAAATTGTTTGGGGCAAAAAATTGAATTTTTCAGAGGTGCAACAGTGCAACACCAGAAAAACATTAATGTGTAAACTGTTCACCAGCGGCTGGAAACTGGAATAAACACTGTTTGAAATCGTTGGGCTCATCCTGACAGGGATGATATTTGCGCAGATGAATCCTGCACTGTGACGCCGTGTGTCGGAGCATTGAACGAGAAAACGTGGAAAATTTGTGGGGCAATTGGTGGTGGGATGCAGTAGGTGGTTTGAGACTAGGAGTTACCAACCAGGGTATCAAGTGGCCCTTAAAACATGTTTTTCTGTGCACCTGCAGCCAGAATCCCTGACAGACCATTTTTCACCGTCTAGTGTTGCCAGGTTGTGAGGGACCATGACTCTAACTTACCCCCATCTCAGTTCTACATATAGATCATGTGGCTGGGAATAGATTGTTTGCAGTTGATTTTTCTTCACTCATCTTCTTCCATCCCAACAGCGTCCTGGAAACCGTTTTTGTAACAGAAACTTTACAGGAAACTCGGGAAACCTGTCTAATAATATGCTATGCTATATTGGAATCCAATGGCATATGCAAACCATGCTTTGCTGATGTTTTCGGTACCATGTCCTTAGAGTTATATATATATATATATATACCGTATACGTATACCAGCCGAAAAAGGCCCACAGCCTGTTGTGGTTCAACATGCTCCCTTCTCTCCCGCAACATCCTCAGGACGCCCGAGAGCCATCCGAGAGCCCTGCAGTTCCGATTGAGCGTGAAAATGATGCGCCATACGCACCCAACGGATACGGATACCAGCGTGGATGGTGGTTTCAAACATGGCTTTCTTTGCCCATGTTTATCCAGAAATGGGGTCTATCCCAGGCAAGACGCCAATTGTGATAGGGAACTTGGTCAAATACCCCACCATTGATTTTGACAAAATACCGTGTATCAATTGGATTCAGTTGGAACTACTTCTTAACCAATATTGAACCCATATTGAATCCATATTGAATCCATATTATTGAATGATATAGTGTATTCCCAGCCCCTGAGAAGTAGCCAATCAATTTACCGAAGATGGCCAGGCTGCAAGCCAAGTGGTGACGGGATTCTTCATCCACACGGTGGTGAGCAAGGACCAGCGGCTTTGGAAATGACGGGAAATTGTGTATATAGCATAGCTATATGTTGTTTACACATATAAATATCAATATAATTTAATACATTCCTGTACACATATGCTGTTCTAACCATACACATTTATAATATTTATATGGCAACCCCAAAAAAGATAGACACACATAACCATATAACTCTACTCACATTGTGACAAATTACGTTCTATCGCTTTTGGAGTTGGTTCTGTGGACAATCATTTATATAGGATGGATGGATGGATAGATAGATGGAAGTTGGACGGTAAGCAAGACAAGTGTGGATTTATCAAACAGGTGAGAGGATAGAAGCAACAAACTTGTGAATTTGAGCCATCAACTATCAACAGTTCGGTTAACACACCAAATTGCAGATTTTAGATCAAACTAAGTTGACGGTGGGGGGGAGAGATGACCCACGTCATAAACCTTCAGGGTCTTCTGGATTGATGGCCACTTTTATCGCACGCCGCTGCCTCTTGTTCTTCCTGTGTAGTTGAAAATTCTCTATCTTTTTGCTGTGAGCATATGTTTATATATAGCTAACTAGCATTTACTGGTCAGCCAGAACTATTTTTTAATATCATCACCCATATGCTTCATGTATGGAATATCTACCAATATTTAGCCCATAAATGACCCAAATGTAGGTAAATATATGTAAATATACCATACATGGATCCTATGGGTCATGGCTAAGGCTAAGATTGATCATCAGGCTGCCACGCGTGTGTCAGTTAGACACGCACCCCCTGTGAGGAGCACGTCTCCCTCCTTCAGAGGCGGCGTTTGTTGGCTGAAATCGCCCGAAAGCATGTGGTCCGCCCTTTCTCATCATTTGATGAGAATCCAAGATATAAGAATCCAATCGGTTTTAATTAATATATAACCAAATGATTAGAATATCTATAAGTCTATGAATATTATCATATGTGCATTATTTTTTTACGAATTCCAGAATAAGCAACCCGCTGAAATCTGTTTTTTTTCATATTCTGAGACACCAGGTGCTCTTCAATGGGAGTTTACATATTTTATCATATTTTGATATGATGAATTGCGCCCCAAAGCTATTTCTGGGTCTTTGTGGGCGATACTCTCAAGCATTTGCCCGTAGAACCCAGGGGGTCCCTGCTTAGGAGTTCGTTCCCATTTCAGGGCCAGGTATCATCATGTTTTCTTGTTGGTTTTGGAAAATTGCACATTGGAGTTGTAGCAGTGACCCTCGGTCCACGGCAAGGAGCATATTCCAGTTGAAGATGAGATGTTTCTCTCCCAATTGTCGATTTTCCAGCTGCCATGTTTGTTAATCACCCATCCCGATGATACTGCCATTAAATCAATACCCCATTCAATCCCATCATATCCCAATTCATTTTCATTGTACCACCATTAAATTAAGTCATCTGGTTGGTGGTTTGGAACATTTTTTTCCATAATATATGATATAATCCTTCCCATTGACTTTCATATTTTTCAAGATGGTTATTGCACCACCAACCAGTACTGTATATTATAATATATATATATACCAACTGGTTATTTGTGCCATAGCGAACTGGAAAATCACCATTATTAAGTTCGGTAAACCATCTTTTTCTATGGGCCATCGAAAAACCATGGCGAACTGTTAGTCATAACCAGATAACCAGATTATTATTAACCATCATTAACCATATAATAACCATATATAAACCATTATTAACAGTATATCAACCAGAGGGTCATATATACCCCCACCAAATCACCATCACATCACCATCGCATCAGCCGAAAAGCGCCCAGTGATCCCGTGGATGACCCCGAAGCGGATCGGCTGCTGCAGCTGATGTGCGGCGTGATTTTGTTGTTGTCGATGCCTCAACTGGCGATGGTGAACAGGCACATATATATATATATATATAAATGTGTAATCATATAATGATATAATTATATGGATATATAGATATAATTATGTATATATATAGATATAGATATAGAGAGATGGATGGATGCATGCATGCAGACAGACGGACATACATACATGCATACATGCATGTATATACACAGATAGATACATACACAGATACATAGATACATAGGTAGATGGATAGATAGATACATACATACAATAACTAGGACACGCCGCCCGCAATGACCCCGCGCAATTTCACCTTTTTTCCAGCAGCTCAGTCTTCAGTTTTGCAACCCTTCCAGGGTTTTGTGACATTCGCATTTTGACATGACTTGCATTTCCATTGGTATTTGCATGACTTTGTAGTCGTTTTCATGAATTTACAGTGGTCGAAGCATTCAATTTTTGTCCCCATACCAAAAAAAAACAAAGTTTTTATATTTTTCACTTGCAAGTCTTTGCCAACGTGCCAAGTTCTTTCAATCTTGCAAGTCTTTCAATCCCCACACCATCAGCAACGTAACAACATGTGACGTAGCAACGATCCCAGAGATCTCTACAGCGTAGCAACATGAAATGTACGAAGTGCAAGGAACGTAAACATCCCACCCCACCCCACCCCACACCACCCCACACCATCAGCAACGTAACAACATGTGACGTAGCAACGATCCCAGAGATCTCTACAGCGTAGCAACATGAAATGTACGAAGTGCAAGGAACGTAAACATCCCACCCCACCCCACCCCACACCACCCCACACCATCAGCAACGTAACAACATGTGACGTAGCAACGATCCCAGAGATCTCTACAGCGTAGCAACATGAAATGTACGAAGTGCAAGGAACGTAAACATCCCACCCCACCCCACCCCACCCCACCCCACACCATCAGCAACGTAACAACATGTGACGTAGCAACGATCCCAGAGATCTCTACAGCGTAGCAACATGAAATGTACGAAGTGCAAGGAACGTAAACATCCCACCCCACCCCACCCACCCCCCCACACCATCAGCAACGTAACAACATGTGACGTAGCAACGATCCCAGAGATCTCTACAGCGTAGCAACATGTAATGTACGAAGTGCAAGGAACGTTAACATCCCACCCCACCCCACCCACCCCCCCCACCCCCCCAAAAGAAAACACAACACGCACATGGCACATCAAAACACGCAAACCGCCTGGGGTCGTTAGAGGCGGCGTGAGCAATAACTAGAACATAAAACCATATTATAAAAGTGCTTAATTAGGATTGTGAATTGTCCATTGAATATATCCAAGGCAGACCACACGTATGACCGCGAAGAAGGTATCAGAACCAGCCATGCCAAGGATGTTTGGATCATGGTGCCATGCTGGTTGCAGAAGTTGTTAGTTTATGATGAATATGTTAGTTTCTGACCTGCCAAACCCTATTTATTGTTTGTATTGTAATGATTTATGTGTCCTCTAAAGATTCATATAGGACATCTCTTTCTCGCACTGTCTCCAAATAATGTTTCTGATTTTTGGATAGTTCCACTAGACCGACAGTGAATTGTTCCCAGACTTGGACGAAATTCCCGGCTGTTGCCTGTAAGTTATCCATTTGGAACCAACCCAAATGATGCTGACCACCGCCCCCCCCAAAAAAAACAACAGATGTTGTTGGACCTTAGCAACCGAAAATCGAAGGTTAGTTTGTGCCATGCTGGCCATGTTTGTCGTCACGGATGAGATGAGGCCTGTTGCGGCAGTCGCAAGTGAGACCCTAGCCTATCTTGAATAAACACGTTATAGTGGCGTGTGTGAATTTTGTGTTATAAATTTACACATAGATCATATTATAATTATATGTTGAAATGCACACTCGCACGCACATGTAAACATATTTATATAATCTTGTTCCGTGATTCTGCACCCGAGCGCTCGAGCTGGATACCAGCTACAGGCACGGGGTGGTTCCCATTCCCAAGCGAATACCTTAAAGTCAAACACGTTGCCACCCTGCAAATTCAAAAACCCAGCCAATTTACATGCAGTCGCCAATGAAGTGTTTTCCATAGCATGACCATAGCATGAACATAGTTAAAATTTGAACATGCAATTCCCAATGACATGGTTCAGTGCGAAGGATTGCACCAATTTGCAGTTCCCTGGGCCTCATTCTGAGCCAATCATCACCCACAATGTTCCCATTTGTTTCTCAATGGAGTTATCTTGTCTATCTTGTTTCAATCAACTCCCAGTCTCCAGCAGTTCCTGATATTCCATGTTTGTTTTTTATCATCATGCTTCGCCACTTTTGCATGGTTACAATTTCCATGCAAATCCAGCTCGTTCATCATGCGATTCACAACTGCACCCGTATGTATGAGAGCATTGTGGTTGTTGGAGGCAGTTGGTGGCCACATAACTCCTGTATGTTAACAGACATGTGTTTTCATATATAGGAAAATGATCTCGAAGCAGGTCAGTAAAGACAGTGCACGTACAACATAGCATCAGATATCCTGCCGCGAGGTAAGCCTACCCCAACAGTAGTCCAACATCCCCAACATTCCCCAAGGGTATTATGATGTGGTAGTTCATAGTCTATCATATAAACCCAAATCAATAGAAATCCCAATTTGGGCTCCTCCAAAATTACAGATTTTTCCTCCGCAGCCGCCACTTGGCTCACCCGTGGTGATTTTCACAAGGTGTCCCATGGGGGCCGTGACGTCCCTCGGTCGATCCGAGCTCAAGTATGCTGTGCAGATCCATCCGCCAGTGCATCGGAGCCTTTCCGAGTTGACTGAGCAGATGGTGACAGTCACAGGAGCTGCTTGGCGAAGCGCAGAACAAACAACTGTTCTGGTAGGAACTGGGAAAATCTAAAATCGTCTCCAATCTAATTGCTGTTTGGTGGTTTGGAACATGTTTTATTTTCCATCATATATGGGATGTCATCCTTCCAATTGACTTTCATATTTTTCAAGATTGTTATTGCACCACCAACCAGTACCCTCTGGTAAATAAACATAGACCCTGAAAATCACCTATTTTTAATGGAAACTAGTCTTCCAACCCCTATTTGCCAGGGTCTATGTTAATTTACCAGAGGGTACTGTAATTGTTATTTTGTGAAATTGAAGATTTGAACATGAGAAATCTGCGGCTTGGGCACCGAGATGACCCAACATGAGTGAACTTGCTAGGCCGACTATGTTTTGAATCGGCAGTTGGGGGACTGATGGGTTGCAATCGTCACATACAAAGCCTAGTTACCCTTGAGGTCGTGTATTTCCTCCCCGGCCTACTCCTTAGGGTTGGTGGTTGATGGCAAACACATGGAGTTCAACCATTTGATTCTCCCAAAAAAGAGATACTCTTTGTTGGATTCTGTTAGATGTTCATTCGATTGGATTGGTTGTATCTTCATCAGCTAGTTGTACGCCCCGAATTGATCCTCTGATTTTGCAATCTGTGTGTCTTTTTTGCTATATTACTTACAGTTGCGCATGCCACCACCCAATGTCTCCACATGAGTATGTTTTATCGTTTGCACATCCCAAGCAGCACAAACCAAACATAACCAAACCCATTTTTGCCATTTGGAACTGTTTGTTTCCTGCTTAGGTAGCCTTTTTGTTACGACTTAAAACCACTATCTCTTGGATAATCAAACCCCAACCAGAACTGTTGGCGACCTAAAGTTGATACTCTTGAATCCTGAATTTGGATCGTTAGCTCTCAATTCTACAATAGTTCAAGGATTGTTTCACGCTGAAATCTTCACCATATGGGCGTGTCATGGTGTGTCTGAAAATCTTCACACAGCTCAAGAGGGAACATGGTAACAATCTATGATAAACCACTAGAATTTATGGGGTAGCCTATTTTTGTACACACTGATGGGAGGTGCCTAAAATATACTCAATGGTCATTTCAGGAACCTATATGGCCTTGTATGGTAAGCTTCAAATTCCCATTGATATTATTATGATATATTAAAATGTTCAAATTCCCATTGATATAATATTATGATATAATTAAATCTCTAAAAAATAAAACTTCGGAACTTGTGTCAGATACTGCCCCAGGCCGTGAACTTCTGCAGCTCCAGCTGGCAAAGGCCAGGCGGCCCGAGCTCAGCCCTCCAGGATTTTGCGGCGAATCCCTTGCTCCAGCCACCCCTGGGGGAGTCCTGGGTTTCTGGCCCTTGCAACTTGGAGGACATGGAAGAAATGGAAGAAATCATGACTTGTGATGCTTGAAAAACGGGCAATTCATTTCTTAGGGATCCCAGCTTCATTTGTCTTTCCGACAAATTACTAAATGCCAGTTCTCGGACCATCTGATTGTGTCATCAAAATCTCAAACAGCATGGGATATGCAAGGGCCAAAAAAAGGTAAAGAAACAAAACCAGAAGATGTTTGTGATCCATACAGGATGGGGCCCCCAAGATAGCGTTCAGTTGCCTTATAAGTGGCTGAATTCTATGGTTTATGGTAGATACAACATGATATACAACTATAGTTAATGGGGGTTATTTCATGGTTAAACCAACATAAACCAATCACCCTCATGGGGCCCCATGTCATTATGTCACTGAGGTGTTTTGGAGATTGATGACTATGTCCACCTTTGGGTGGGCATTTCCTCGGGCATTCTCCACTTGGTCTCCCACGATGGCCTGTCGACTTGGACGGCGGTGGAGATGACGGTGGACTGCCCGGGCGCCTCCAGAGCCTCGGTGACGCGGGAGCCGAAGAGCAACGTGGTGTATCTCTTCTATGAGCAGACGGAAACTCGGAGATGTCGATGTTTTCGGTTTTTTTTGGATGGGTTTTCTTGATGACCCAGATGTGTGTTTTTCCGTTTTTAGGGTTTTCTTCATGGTTCATTGAGTCATTGATGGCTTTTGAATGTGTTTGGCGTTCCTTTGGTGTGTTGAAGTGGTTTTTGCTGGTTTAGATGTTGATATTGGATATGTATCTTTATAGAACCAACTAATACTGATACGAGAAACCGACAAAATTCTTGTTATATAATACTAATCTAGTTTTGCTTCGCTTTGGCCTTTTTGAGGTTGCACAAGAACCTCATAACAGATAGAGGACGACCCTATACCGATACCCCATTTGTGATACCCCCGGGAGTACTGAAATCCTCACAACGGATAGGGGGCGGCCCTAATTTGCGGCATTAAATGTAACAAATGTCCCGCTACTCCGCTACTCGTATAATTAATGGGGATATTTAACTTATATAACCAACAAATACTGATATCATGGGGATGCAATAGGATATAGTATAATTATAATGGGGTATTTCTCCAGTGAATGGTTAGAGCTCTTAGGAAGCGTTAGTTCACGCCGGAGCTGTTAGGTGCTACTGAGAGTGTCCCAACGAATATGGGGGTGACTGAAAATGGGATAGACGCGCTTAAAGTTGTGGTTTTAAAGGGAGACAACAATGAAATGATTATCAATGCATCAGAAAGTGGTTGATATATGGGGCATATATTTATGTCACGTCTGACTCTGTCGGAATTGAAATGTGCTAGCAGAAGGCTGACCTGATATGATATATAATTGTGTTTTTTCTTGTGACTGGGAGTATGGAGTAACGAGTAGTGGCAAGGATTTCAGGCAGGTTTGTTGCTTGCAGCGTGTTTTCCTTCGATAGCTTCACAGAGAGCTTCATGTCATGGTTCCACTCATAAGGCGTGGAACATTGATGAACATTGTTGTTTGCATCATTGAGGGGTCGTTTTTACTGGACAATTCCTGTAAGTAACAAAACCTCTGTTTCAGCATTGCTTTGGCGGTCTAGTTTCCTGTGGAGCCACTCCCTATTGTTGGACTTGTTGCCCTTTCCCGCCCAATACCCTCACTGGTCCCTCAGCCCAAATTCACCACATGTGACACTGCAAGAATATAACACGACGACGTCATCGAATGCTTGTATGTCAGCTATACTTATGATACTATAATATGTATATTATATGGATGCATACTGTATACTGCAAATTCTTTGCACACACACGCACACACATGAACGCTCCCCCACACACACACACAGATCATATCCATTATATTCCGTACATATTCCATTCCCATATATAAGTCTATAAGTCTATAAGTCTATATTCCATAGTCCATTCCCATATTCCCACACACGCAGAATATATTCTATAAGTCTATAAGTCTATACTTACCTCTCAAATAGACTTCATGTCATTTCAAGCACATCACCAGCATCCCATCGTGCCCTTGCCAGATCACAAAAAGGATCCGCCGCAGCACGGCTTCACCTCGACGAAGGTCAAACTCATCTCGGCCAAGTTGCCCTCCGCCGCCTTCAGCGCGGGGACTGGCTGTGGAGTGAAGCTACGGAGGTCACGGATGGGTCCCGGGGGTGGAGTTGGGCGGAAATGCCAGGGTGTTTTTGATGGAAAACTTGGGATTTCACCAACTAAAAACTTGCAAATGCTGTTTTTTTTGGATTGAAAATTTGAGATTTCACGTGGAGAAATGGTGATTTCCATGAGATATTCATGGGGAGATGGGAAAAAAGAGCAAGAATGTGTGATATTTTGGTGCAGAACATGTGAAATTTACCGCCAACATAAGGTGTGAAGCTAAGAACCGGAAAATGATCATACATCGGTCATTTCAGTTTTTTTTACAATGTATATTCTTCTGTCAGACAATCCCAAATATGGAAACTGTTGTTTTGATGTTGTTTAAAACCATTGGTTGGAGACTGAATGTCTTGATCAAAATCCAGAAGATCCCCGGCAGATTGAGGACTTATTGAAGAAAACAATGCTCAATCAACAACTCAGTCATCCATTTAAGCATCACTGCATATTATTATTTATATATTATATAAATAATATATATATATATATACACATGTTGTCACCTTTCCAGCCCTTTCCAGCCTCAAAAAGATGGACATCCCCCAAGAAGGATGGACCTTGAATTGAGATGAATTGAGCCGTGAACTTGCCGGCGGCTAATGTCAGACATATGGCCATGAGTCAAAGTTCAAAAGTTCAAGGCTTTGGACACAGGATTGTTTTAAGAAACAGTATGTAGTGTCACATGTCTTTGGGTGACCAATTTTGGCCCGTACCCATATTAAGGATCAGATGGATGTGTGAAAGCTAAAGCTCAAAATTGCTAGTGGAGTGGCCCCATATGGTTTGTGGCCCCGTTTAGTCGGACAAAGCGGGCTTGAGCTATAGCACTATGGCTAAATCTGATTGGTGGTTCATTTTGTCAATTTTTGTTTCTTTTCCGACCTGGTACGTTTGGGACACCATTCACTTAAAACCGCAGAAATTTGGGATGGGTTATTATTCAGCCCAGCTATGGTCATCATCAACCGTGGACAGGGACCTGTTATAGCAGGTTCTCCAGCCGGAATTGGAGTGGGAGAAGGTGCAAGTGGCAAAAGTCAACTTGGTAGCAGTGAGATGTGGTGAATCGGGGGTGACATTTCGTCCCAGGGTCAGGTGTTTTTCATCTATGATCATGGTTTGTTGTCGTCATATGTCCTTTTACTTTGGATAGAGAATTTTTGGGTAGAGAGTCCTTTTCCTGTTGTTGTTGTTGGTGGTGGTGGTCGTCGTGTGGCAGCGTCCTTGTAGTTCCTTTTGCTGCAATGAAATGATGCGCTATAACATCCCATAACGATTTCTTTTTTTGTTTGATTTTAGTCATTTTTTATGTCGACATTTGCTTGATTGATTTGCCGAAAATCACCTTCACCATCATCACCGCCAGAATCTCACCAGAATCCTATCTAATCAGTGTTAGTGGCCATTCAAGGCGTCAAAATCTAAGCCCAAAAAAGCGGGGCCACGTGGCCACATGCTCTTTTCCTTGGCGGTCCCCGAGATGGGAAATCCCTTTGTCGTGTATAGCAGTTTTCGGGATCAGTTGCTCGACCGAGCTGGCAGCGCGAAACGCTGGACTTGTGGATGACCATCGGGAGTTGGATCATGGGTCATTTTTTAGGCGCCCCAGAGTTTGCCAAGTTGGGTTATAATATGTGACAACTGGGGTATAAACCAAGTACTATAGTTATAGATATTTATATAGATTATATGGTTATAACAAGTTGGGTTTTCCAAGTGGCGCCCCAGAGTTATATCCAAGTTATTGAGCTTCATGGGCTCTATAAACCAACATATGTATTATAAGTGGGGCCACTAGATAGTAGTATGGTTTGAACCCAAAAAAAGAAGCTGCTGGTATTAAACGACGAAAATCTGGTCCCAAAGAAACACTATTTCAACACCTTCGCAAATATATATGTAAATGTCAAAACTTAATTTTCTCTGACCTTATTTGCACCCTTATGGCCCCGGGCTACCTGCTTTTGGCCCCACTGCTGATCAATCTCGATGAATTTCGAGGTTGACAAACACGCATTCGATTGGGGCCACTGATCTTTCCACCAGCTGCTGAACATTGTACAAAAGCATGAGGTTTGGCCCTGCTAAAGCATCCCATGTCTTGAAATCATGTTGTTCGCTCTAAACACCATCCCCTTTTTCGATTGGATTTCTTTTGGGGGGTACTGAGTAGTACCCAAGAGCGCCCAACCGAATGTTCCACGGCCGAAGTCATGCCAAGGTGGCTCCTGTACTACTCCGCCTCATCGGTTTTTCGCCGGAAAGATTCCAAGAACCCTCCTCCGATGTACATTGGCATCGCTGCTGCCCCTGCAGTTGAGGGACCCTACCGCAGAATCAATGAGAAACCGTTCCTGGGAACCAGTGAAGGAGTGCCGCAAGTAATTGGACCCTTGGCTCTGCTTGGCTCTGCAGATCTCGGAAAATTTTCGAGCAGTGAATGTGTAAAAAGGATTATCAAGGATGATTTGGATTGTTTTAGAGGATGCTGAAGAGCCATCAATCCTGAAAGTGGGATAAAGTGGGTAGATTCAACATGGTTAAACTGTTAAACAGTTCTTAGGCTTGATGATTGCCTCATAGGCCATGGTATCAGTGACTAGTGTTGTGTACCCCTGCAATGCTGATCCAAGGAAACCCGCACAGGGCTGAGGAAACATGCACCTTTTACCCACATGATTCACACGTGTGAAACAAAATTGAGTTTGGTATGATTTGGATCTCACATTCCTTTTACCAATGGATTTCCCAATGAATTATGAATGAATTATGGGATTTTCCGGTAAAATGTCCCTGAAACCAATTCACTGTTTCCGAGGTGCCGGATCATTCAAGATGATTAAAGGTTTTGACGTTTTGAACTATGATGAAGAGGCAGGAATAGGCGCAGCTGCGGCACAAGCTTGGGAAGGATTTCACCGGTTGAGAAATACCTGGTCAAGCCCAGCGTAAGAAATTGTGGCTTTGTTTTTTCAGTTTGCTTACTGCCGGTAGGTGAAAATGGTGAAACTTCCAACCATCCACCATCCATATATATATATATATCTATATATATATATATATATATATATTTATACCCTCTGGTTAACACCCTCTGGTTATTTAACATAGCCATGGAAAATCACCATTTTTAATAGGTAAGCCATCTATTTCGATTAGGGCCATCGAAAAACCATGGCTATGTTAGTCATAACCAGGGGCTATTTATCCAGTTTGGAGGTTTGCTGGCCCCCAGATTGCTGGAGATCTGGCCCCTAGCCGCTGCCGAGTGCTCAAACTTGGCCATTTTGTTTGGAACTGCCGCCCGATCATCTCAACGCCTAGTGCGAAGACGGGCAGAATCCAATCTTTAGTGTCCATCATTCTATAGCGGTTGGTAATCAATTCCGGCAATAAGAAGAAAACACAATCATGAGGAGAAAAACACAATCATGTATAGTGGTTGGTAATCAACTCCTGGATGATTTCCATTTTAAGTGGCTGGGGATTTTCCATTCCGGCGATGTTACACCGGAGGCTAGCCATGATGGAACATGCCTTCCGGGATGCATGGCTGCCAACTGCCATCCCAGGAATGCATGTTGGAAGATGTTGGAAGCATCTGTATTAAACCTGTATATATATATATTCAATGAATATTTGAATGTCTAATTCAGAGTAGGTTTCATTCGATGTTTATTTATAAATCCTGGTTGGTGGTTTGGAACAATTTTATTTTTCCCCAACCAGATTGGGGATGATGATCCAATCTGACTTTCATATTTTTCAGAGGGGTTGAAACCACCAACCAGAATCTATGTCTCCCAGGCATTCGCCCAGCACCTCCCAGCCTTCGTTCGAACGTTTTTCACGCCAGCAGCCAGGTAGGCGTTTGCTGGCGCTGGAGAGCCGGATCACGCGAAGCAAAGATAGCAGCGTGTCGAGTATCGTTGCTTGGGGAACAGCAGATGGCTATGTTACCATCGATGTGTTGGTAGGGAGCTCTCAACTTAGGGTCTCCTGACCCTTCCCACCTTTGGCCTCCTGGCCTAAGCAAACGGACTCTTTTCACCTCTCATAGCGACAGCGGTGAACTGAAAGGTTCCTTGGGGCATTGAGCCACGGCCACGGAATGAAGTGACGTGACCTGGCAAGGCATGGATTGGAAGATGCTGTGGCAAACAACACTCATCTGTACTATAAAATAAAAAAAAAAGAAAAGGCGCCCAGCCTTATACATCATTCACAACACCGGCTATTCCGTGTTGAAAGCTACAGCAACCTTATGTGACGTTCATGGTTACAGCTCACTTGAGACGACGAAAACTGTCGGTGCCAGGGATCATGGGCATCTGCTGCGTCATGCTATCATGAGACTCACGAGCATGAAAGTAGAGGGAGAGATCAAGAAGGTTGCCACTGGCTCCTTCCACTTGTCCTTTCACCCAACGCACGTATCGGACATCCTCTGCATTCTTGGAATCAAACACCTCCTTGTAAGTGATCTCAGGGGCCCCCTTCTTTGCAGCAAACTTTCCAAACATGATGATAGTGCGCCCCCATGACGCAAGATCATTCACTCCCTGAGGCAGGATGATGGGTTTACCCTTGGGTGTGTGACCAACCACCTCATCCTTGATCTTTGTGACATAGCTGCGCTTCAACTCAGACTCACCAGTGGGCTCATCAGTGCGGCGCTTGGCTGCTTCACCCATTCCATGGAAGGTTTCATTCTCGATCACTGCAAAGCTAGAAGGCGTAGGAACTTCTGGCTCTTCATCAGTTCCATGGACACGAGCCAGCAAGGCTGAGAGCAACACTTTCTCGCTAGGAGACAAAGGCTGAGAGGAGGCACTCATGTTTTCAGCACTGACAGGAAAAACATAAAAAGGGGTGGTCAACGGAGCTGTTTTGAACATGAAAAACACTCGCAGAGCAAAATTCAATTCCCAAGGTGTGAACTCTTAAACACTTGAACTTGTGAGCAGGCGGTCAATCACCCCAATTATTGAATTAAGCTTACCCCAAGTATATATAAACTGTACATGTCGCTAACGAGATTCTACTCAGAGCTGATTGACTTTTTGGATTGCATTCTTCTCTGGCGTTCTTCGGCTTGCAGCTGCAAAACTGTTTCTTCTGGAGAAATCTGATAGGTGCACTGTCGGATGCACGCTCGCAGCAAATCGGTCGGATCTCCGGCACTCTTCGTAAGAGAGTCAGCTAGCATTCTATTGGTTGGGACCCATCGCAACGACCCTTTCAACCGCTCCAGACTCTGGCGCAAAATAACAATGTCAATTGACGTGCGACGATCTTCAATAGATGTTGGAGAAGTAACTGCTACAAGATGATCATACAAACTTTTACAATCGGTAATAATCACAGGAGGTCTGGACTGCAAATGTTTCAAATAATCACGAACATCATTGATACCTTCAATAGCTTCGGATAATAGCAATGCGGCCCATTCCAAAGTGCCAGTTGCCGAGACCATAGCTTGGGCTTCTGCTGCCAATGTTGATCCTACTGCACGGGATAGCCTGAAAGATTTCCACATGGCTGGAGTCCAACTTGTTTCATGACCTTGATCCAAGGTATCGTCAGAAAAACCAATGATATATCCAGCTTGGGTGTGGTCACCTAAATTGGCCCATGCAGCATCACTGTGGCAGCAAAAACGCAGCTTAGACGTAGGAATGCTTTTGAACGTGACTGTCAAATCGGAGAACTGTTGGGCACGTTTGATAACATTATTGGCTTCCAGCAGATGATGCACAGTTGGATTAGGAAAGCTTTGCTGACTAATACTGGTCTGTGCTGACAAATCTGGACGACTCTGTGAGGCAAGCCAATTCAAGCTACCATTTATGCCACGAAGAATGCTGATCTCTTTGGAATCCAGGACGGCTCGCCTGTTGAGTCTACGGTGTTTTGGGAGATGGGCAGGCTTCATGTTTTGTGCAAAACCCTGTTGGCTCATGGTTATATCAAAGGACTTTGGGTCTTGGCGGTAGTGAGTACCACAGAACTCACCTTCCTGGACTCTCCATTTTCGATAGGGAAATCTGGCCCTCAGTCTTTTGATAGCTTCATTGTAACGAATACCTTCTCCTCCAGTCACCGTGTCATCAACATGTGCGCCAAGAACACCTGTAAGACGACCTCCCTCTCGCATCCAGTAAAGACAGCTGTCATATTTACTACGCTCAAAACCTGCAGCAACAACTTCGTCATTGAAAACCTTATACCAAGCCGCAGGGGCATCGTTCTGACCATAAACGTTGCCAAGAACTTCAATAAGACAGTCTTTGTCAATACCTGGAATGCCACCTGCTGGAATTCTGGCGAAAAGGGGCTTGTAGCAGGCAGGAAGTGGTCCGGCCTCGAGGAAGGCTCCTTTCACATCGCCAAGCTGTAGCAACCATCTATGAGAAGCTAACAACTGAAATAAAATGGTTCGACCAATTTGTGACAGTGTTGGCGACTGAAGCTGTCCCTCACGAACTTTGGTATGTAAGTCGGGGTCCAGGTGTCCCTGAAGGCACCATCTGGCTTTAACTTTCCAGTGGTCTAAGATGGTTGAATCAGGCTGTTTTCCATTCTCAATCATTTCCTCTTCCGGCTTCTTGACAATGACATACCGACTTCCCATGATGCGATCAGGTTGATGTTGCTTGATCCAGTTGGCTTCTTTTGGAGGGACCACTCGGACGGCTTGTTTGTCGATTAAGGTCTGCCATTCGCTGACCTTGGCTTGATCGACTTTGGCTTGCAAAATTGGCTCATTATTGGAAACTGGAATCTCTTTCTGTGCTCGTTTATTATAGTACTGGGCAACCAGGGCCTCAACAGCATTGTCCTTGGTGTTTTGAAAAGTCTGCCACAACTCGAGAGATTCTTCAGCTTCACAGCAGGCTGATTCTACATAGGCTATCGGGTGCTCATCCAAGGAGTCTGGCGGTACATCAAGTCTTGGAGCTTTGTGCTCCGGTTGATCAGTAGCCTCATCGGCATTTCTCTTACGACTAGCCTGTTCAGCTTCAACTGCTTCCTCAATTAGATGGGGAACAACCTCTTGCATGACTTCAACAAAATCTTCTTGCCTCATGGCAGTTGGACGGAACAGGGTCATGGGACCACTTTTGGATGGCAACCGACGACGGCGAACTGGGCCATAGTCACTAGAACCAGATGGAACTTCTGCCGACTCGATAGTTTCCGAGGGACCTGCATTGGAACCTGACACTTCTGCATTAGTTCGTTCAGCAGTTTCTTCAGTGGCAGGTGCACTCGGAATCTCTGGTCGAGGAACAGCAGAAACAGACTGACTACTCTGGTCGCCGGTGGCTTGATCAGGTGCTATTGGAAGTTGGCCATCTTGTGCCAACACTGCTGGTTCTTGGGGAGGATAAGCCTGTGCAACGAGATCTACGTACTGGTGACTACGAAAGGTTCCATGTTCGATCATGTCTTTGATTCCCAACAATTGAGTTTCAGGTGTCTCAACCAACGATCTTTCCTCACCAGTAGCTAGGCGAACTTGCTCGGGTGCGCAGCGCAGGATGTGATTTCTATGGGCAACAATGACATTTCGTCCTACCAGCCCTATGACGATGCCACTTCCATACCAACGACCACCCTGAGACAACAGACCTTTGCTCCATTTCTGATCACGCCAGTAAGCGACAACATCGCCTGAGCTGAAAGGTTTGTCACGCCTTGGCCTGGCTATCAGGGCTCGGCGCAGGCTCTGATCGTCTTGCAGTTGTAAGACGGCTTGCCTAGCCGCAGAACGCACGGCATATTTCCGGGCCAGGGCTTGATCTTGCAAGGAAGCTGTACAAGCGACTGCATCGGCTGGTTCATTCAGCACATCTCCGGGAAGCTCGGGGTTCTTACCAAATATGAATTGGCTGGGAGTATAACCATAATTCTGGATCATCTGATTCTTGACGTGGCTTTGAATGACACATTCCAGCCATTCTTCTTGGTTTTCAGGGCTTTTCTGTTCCAAAACTTTGGACAACACACGTGCAAACCAACCACCGTGAACTTCAGTTTTGCCAAGTTGCCAATGGGCTCCAGCAGCAGTCACTAACACATGAGTTCCTTCAAGCTCAGTGGGTTCCACCATGGCCTTACCAAGATTTGTCCTAGCTGGGTCAATTATGATCTCCTTTGGAGGACCTGCCCAATTTACCCATTTCTCAAGGTACAACTTCCGAAGGACGCTGGCTGTTTCTGTTTCAAAGAAGGGTATCATGAGTTGATAGGACGAGGCATAGTCCACTATGTTGAGTGCTGAAATCTTTTGATTTGGTTTCCAACCAGGCAAGTACTTAACATCCAGTCCAACACGCTGGTTGAATTCCAGCACGCGATGTGCTTGGCCGGGATTTGCTACAGTCGGGGCTTGGCGTGCTGTGCAAAAGTCACAGGACAGCTCTTTGGCCAATTTAATGGCAGCTTCACTGGCTTGACCATGGCGCAAAATGCGCACAAGATCATGATTTGAGGGGTGGCCCAGATTCTTGTGCAAACGATGCAAAACGACTTTCAACTTCTCAGGATCGGTTTCGGTTTCTGTTGCCAAAACTTCAAACGGAAGAGCGTCATGGTGATCATCGCCATCCCACTCACAAACTAACACTTCGGTGCACGAACGAAACTTGGGCACGGTGTTCAGCACGGCCTGTACAAAGGCTGGTGTGTAACGACCGGCATGCTTGCTCACTGATCCAACTCCTGGTTCACTTCCGGCGATGGTGGCATGAACATGTTCTGGCACGGATTCTCCTGGGCAGTGACGCTGGAGGACTTCCATGTCAGAGTGACTACACAACAGACGGGTGCTCTTACGGATATATCGTTTTGGCTTATCTTGACGGGCTGGAAGGTGAAGGTCAAAACAGCACATGTGGGTGACAAAGGATGTCAACTCTTGGCACCATCGCTGCATTTCATCATCAAGCCAAACATCGGACCCGGTTGGATGCTCAAACAAAAACCGGCCACCTGACGCAACCTGTTGCCTGATCAAGTCTTTGACAAACAACATGAAAGTCTTCAGTTTTCGACGGCGGCTCAACACTTCACTGCAGGACATGTACAAGGAGTTAAGATTAAACCAACCACCCGCATCAGTACATGGTGGACAAATAATCAAAAGCTCTGGGGGATGCAGTCTGAGTTCTTCCTTGACCCAGTCCCGGTTGGCCTTGATGGTGAAGTCCCATCCATTCAACACATCGAAGGATATGCCCTTGAGTCCCATCTTTTCCACCTCAGGAGTGAATCTGGGGGGACTGAACACTTCAGCAACTGCATATTTGTTCCCAAGTCTGGGTGACTTGAGTTGATGGTTGAGCTGCCGGAGCTGCTTCTTGGTGAGACCACCCTGTTTCTTACTGCTAGGAATGCTCTGAGTGTCGAGACATTCATAGAGCGGCTTTTGATCAGACTGAGACTCACTGGCAATGGGGGACCACTGTGTTTTAGAAAAGGGACGAGACATAGACGGAATGGACACGGATGCAGGACCTGGTGCAGAACTGTGATTGGACTCGGATTCCATACCCCGGTTATTTCCCGTTCTATCCATTATCCCCTTTACACAATTATCCCCGTTATGCTTATCTGGATTACTACCTGACCCATTTGGCAAACTGGCATCGGATGCAGTGGAAGGCACATCAACCAACTGAACTTCATGCTCCATGGTGCGGACTGGAAAGTTCAGCACGTCGAGGACGTACTGACCAGCGGCATTGGACTTCAGCTGTACTTGAGTCTTGCCGTCAAACAGATACAGTCGATCATTCGCAAAGTCAATGCTGGCACCAAGCTTCTTCAGGGCTGGTCTGGAAAGCAGTAAGGGCGCATCACCTGCTACTATTGCGGCTTGAACCGTACCAAACTTTCCATCCAGTCCTATGGGCATGATGACAACTTGAGTGGAAGTCTCACGTTCACCGTTTCCAAATTTGAACACGTTCACCTCATCTTTGAACGTAGGTTGAAAACGACCATCCTTCTTCCAGAGACTTTGAAACTGCGACAAGGTCTTCTGTCCAACTATTGTTTTGCCACATCCAGAATCAAGGACAGCAAAACCTGGGCTGCTGACCAAAAGGACCTCTTGGACTGGCTGTGCACGCTGCTCACGAAGACATTGCACCTGTTGAATCAATGTCTTCTGAGATTCCACTGCGGCCACAAAAGCTGGCTGCTCTGTAGGGACTTCGGGGGCAACATAGCTGGCAGCTGTCTCTTTGGCATTTCCTTTGGAGGCATGAGATGGCACCGAGGGATCTCGTTTTTGCCTGCACTCTCTGGCCCAGTGGCCTGGTTTGCCACAACGATTGCATTTCGTTTTGCGTTTCATCTCTTCTATCTCTACTCTGAAAGACCTACGCAAGTCCTTTGCTTGGTCGAATTTGCGAAGCTTCTGAAGACGATTGATCTCAGCTCTCTTGTCTTTCCAAGTGGCGGCAAGGACTTCGGCGACCTCTTCCTCTGGATACTCCTTGTCTTCTCCGTCAATGTCGTTGACATAGTCGGCAAGGAAGAGCTCGACGTCGTCAAAACCTGTGACCTCATGGTCCAGCGGCAAACTAGATGATTCCCCAAGCTCATCCTGAACCAAAGCTACTGCCTTTTTCCGTGAATTGATAAATTCCGGATAACAGCTACGCATGGCTTTGCTCACGGCTTCGCGTCTCAAATCTCCCATTGAGCGGCCTTTCACGACGGCCTGCTGTTCCTCGTTCAAGCCGCTCCACTTGAGCAACATGAATCCACGAGCCTCTTCCGGAAACTTGACATTGCCCTTGCGCTCACATCGGTCAAACAGTTCTGTTGCCCTGCTGATCCACTGTCGGAGAGATTCTCCCTCCTTGGATCGCAGGTTGAACACTTCATTCAGGACTTCAGCTAATTCATCAGTTTCATCACGCTGTGGAAATCTTTGATCCAGAAGCTGTAAAAGCTTTGCCTCCCCGCCCTCCTTCTGGTATTCAGAGGGCTCAAGGTGTTCCACACATTCTAATGCCTTCCCCTGCAGAAGCGTAAACAGATAGGAACCACGAGCTTCCTTAGGCAGCTTGTCCAGCGTTGCAAACTTATTCACAAGCCAGAGCTTCCAGCGCTTGTACTCCTTGAAGTCTTCGGTCTCTCCGCTGAAACAGCGGACACTGCCACCATGGTCAGGGTTGGGTGTCGAGGACGACATAGATGCTGTGCTCACCTGTTCCTCCTGGAACTGAGACGGATGCTGGTATCGCGGACCAGCTCCGCTACCAATGTTGGTAGGGAGCTCTCAACTTAGGGTCTCCTGACCCTTCCCACCTTTGGCCTCCTGGCCTAAGCAAACGGACTCTTTTCACCTCTCATAGCGACAGCGGTGAACTGAAAGGTTCCTTGGGGCATTGAGCCACGGCCACGGAATGAAGTGACGTGACCTGGCAAGGCATGGATTGGAAGATGCTGTGGCAAACAACAGATGTATAGTTACTGTATATATATATATATAATAGTATTTTATAGTATTTATAGTTGATATTTATCGTATTTGATAGTTACCAATAGTTGATTGTCCCATTTATAGTTGATTTCTATGATGGGTTACCATTGATTTATCGTTGATTTATAGTTCATATAGTTGATTTTCCAATTTAAACCTCCATTGATCGTGGATTTCCATCCGTGTTTTCCATCCATTTCTATTCACAAAACGGGGCACAATAATCATCATAATACATATATATATATAGATATATAGATAGACAAAACTGTACATATATATATATATATATATACTGCAACCTAACCAACTTAAAACATTGTTTTACCATCAGATATGGGTTTAGGAGTAGGGTAACTCTCCCGTCAAACTGGGGAGTTGACCATCGAACATTGACTCGTTCATGCAGGATATAAACCAGCTGGATGTGTAGTGGTAAACCAAACATTTGGTATGAACACGATTGGTTATGAACCATGGGAACATAGAATGAATATAATGAATGGATGTTAACTAATGGTAAACCATGGTGTTTACCAGCCCCCAGTAATGTTTTTTTTTAAACCAGATTACTGAAAAGTACTTCAATCTTGTGCCAAACATTACCAGTTTCAAACTTTTTGTCCAAAGCAACATGGTCTGGGGGCTCGGTTATCTTCGGATTCGACAGGGTCCGTGCGCTGCTGTTGATGCTTGGATTCCGTCCATGTGGGGATTTATTTAACATGACAAGAACTAGGGCCTCTAGGGCATCAGTTTGAACATCCCAAAACTTGCCAGATCTGAATTTATATTTTATTCTTTGGTATCTTGGATTTTTTCTGGCCAAGAAGAAGGTGAATAGGATATCAATGGATCTCTCTCTCTCTCTCTCAATCTTATTTAAAGCCTGATTTTTTTGGCCACTTCGAAATGTGGCAAGCCGAAAAGTAAATCTATTGTTACACTTGGCATGTTTAACCTGCAAAAAATATAGATTAATTGCACGGCATGCATACTAATCCCCTCTCCTAAAATTAAATACCCTGCATATGAACCCTAAAATGAACAGATTCAACATTAAACTAGGGTTTCTAGGGTGTTATTTCACATTAGGGGGCAGGGATGACTGGATGTCATCACAACGCTGTATCCACTGAGCGAGGCTTTGTTGGCAAGCGCTGATGGCTTTTCCTGGTCCTTGATCGATGCAAATTTCCTGGTACCACTGCTGCAATGCTGGGACCGAGGCATCCCAAAAGGCTACCGAGCAAAGGTTAAACTAGGCCAGATCAAGGGCTGCAACTTCCATGATGAAACCGAAGGTGCTTTTAAGCCAATCCATCTCCGAGCAGATTTGTTCAAGAGACTTGTGGGGTACCGAGTTGGAGACCCAGGTCATTCCATTTGAATTCCTTCGAAGTGGCGAGAAGCCTAGAGAATCCGAAAAACACCAAATACCTCAATAAAGAAGACAACTTGTTTTTGGCTTCCCACTTTTTCCCACAATATCTTTGAATCATTCAAGTGATGATGCCTTTTTGATGCCAGGTGATTTGTGAATGTTTAACGCTGCTACTGATGATGATTTAATGAGCTCTAATTTAATCATGATTCCCATCATTTATCAATATCCCAAATCATCATTCCTCAGTATCAATCACGCTTGATTCAGCATCAGAGCGATCACAGTCCACCATCAAAATCATGCCCACCATCAGCTTGATAAAACATCATCATTGCCATCATGACCTTCAGCACATGATGATAACCTTTGACATTTACAGACCCTCTGTCAACATCTTAATATGCAAATCACCTGGGTTCCGGATGATTCAGCCTCTCAGGACTATCAAAGATGTCTTGGTGTTCTATCTTTCCACCATGCCAGTGGAGTCTAAAAAGGAGATTAGGCAGATTAGTTAGGTGTAACAAAAAACCCAATGAAATTCGGGAGGGGCACATGCCAATGAGTTTCTGACTGGTGGTTTCAAATCGATTCATGTTCCATCCATTGAACATGAACATGATGATGATGATGATGATGATGATGATGATGAGTATTATTATTGCTATTACACATATACATATATAATCATATATATATATGTTATTACCATGATGATCCCTATAGTGACGGTTCTCTTTCTCGTCCATGGCTTTTTCACAGCGGCCCAGGCCCCATCGGCAGAGAAGAGTTGGAAGAAGGCGATGCTTGGCAGGTCAGCCTTGGTCGGTCACCTCGAGGAACCGACCAACGAAACGATGGGTTTCACCCAGTTTTTTAATGGTGATTTAATGGTGATTTAATGGTGATTTAATAGGGATATGAATGGTGATTTAATGGTGATTAATCCTCTGGTAATGGAATATTAATGGCTGTATGGATAATATGGTTGATTTTCCACTAATATATGGGATAATCCTGGGTAATCATGGTTAATAATGGTTGATAATGGTTGATAATGGTTAATAATGGGAGAGTATAACTGGTTGGTGGTGACTGGAACCATGGAATTTGGATTGACTTTCCCATCATATTGGGAATGGAATAACCATCCCAACTGACTTTAACTCCATGATTTTTCAGAGGGGTAGGTCAACCACCAACCAGCATGTGAAACCACTGATTTTAATCTTTATGAATTCCCTGAAAAGAATCGACCCAATGTTCCACCAAGTTCAGTGGGGTATTTTCATCGCATTTGTTGTTTTCACAACTCGCGTTACGCGACCAGCGCCTTGATGAGGAATATCCACACCTTCGATACAATGATTCCTTCCTTTGACCCGGCGCCTTGGCAGCGGTGGATGACTAGCCTCTGGATCTGAAAAAAAACTATGGAACATCACCATTTCTTAATATTAGGTAAATTAAATTTCCGGTAATCAACTCAACTATTTCCATGGCCATGAACGGCAAACTCTGAGTTTACCAGCTATTAGATGCTTTCACTCCATCCCAAGTGGATGATGCTGAACATGTTTTCTTGCCCGTGTGCCATTGGCTTTGACCATGTTTATCATGTTTGACCCAGTGTTCAATGAGGTTGACTGATGTTCAGAGAAAGATACCCTCTGATAAACTAACATAGCTATTGAAAATGGCCCATTTATAGTTGATTTACCTATTAAAAATGGTGATTTTCCATAGTTATGTCAACGTTTACCAGAGGGTTTAGGGTTTAGCATGGTGAATCATGGTCAGCAACCCAGGATCACGTTTTCATCTACTACGACGCGAGGGATAACTTCAAGAAATCCACCGTGCCACGGCAAGAATCGGTCCGCGATACCAAATTTTCCCTCACCCTCTGGTACTCAAACATGGCTTGCTGGAAAATCCAAGATTTTCATAGATTTTAATAATGATAATGATTTCCCCTTTCAAACTTCCATTACATATAATATAGATATATATATATATCTCTCTCTCTCTCTCTCTTCCATTCATAGGGGATTTCCCTGCGATTATGGAGGTGAGAGCACCCAAGGAATGCGTCGGCGTCGCTCGCATCCCCGTGGTTTTTCTGGAATCTATCGCCTGTACCACAGCCACCCGCGTGGGAGCAACGTGAGTGGCCCTTTTTTGCCGTCATTCCCTGGGTTAGAAGTTGGGTTAGCACCTGGTGGTTTCAAGGATGGGGATAATGGGGTTTCCTAAGTTAGGGGTATCCCCAAATCATCCACTTTAAATCACTTTAATAGGATTTTCCATTATAAAATTATAAACCATCCATGGCGGAGTACCTCCATTTCAGGAAACCCCCATATGACCAACTGAAAATGGGCAGCAAATGAACATGTGGGATGAAGAACAATGAAGAAATGCCAAGCATTGGGGTTCCAGCAACTCAAAATGGGACCTGCAAGTAACAGGATGCTACGGGTTACCCTCTGGTAAACTAACATATCTATGGAAAATCACCATTTTTAATGGGAAAACTCACTATAAATGGCCATGTTCAATAGCTATGTTAAATTACCAGAGGGTATTTTATTATGTAACTTGAAATGGTTCGCAAGATATTGAATAGTTTTTAGGCCGCAAATCTCGGGAAGCAACCAGGGAAGACTGGTATGTTCAATCATTTATGAATATTTAAGTATTTATTGTATGATTTAATTTTACAAATATATTCTATATATTATATATCTATACATATATATATATAGGTATAATGTAATATAATCATAATTTAATATAATATAATTTAATTTAATTGTAATATAATATAAAAATAATAATATAATATAAAAAATTACAATATAATATAAAAATATTTGTTTCATATAATATAATATATATATATATGTATGTGTGTGTGTGTTCATGTCTGTGTCTCAAAATGGGATGATGATCCTAGCTGACTTAATTATTTCTTTGGGATGGCTGGTCCTGGTTACATACACGCGCTCACCAGAGAAAAATGTCGCATTGTTGTCTCTTCCTGTATGCATGCGGTGTTTATTTTACGGATTTGTATGGTAAATTTGCTGTTCTTAGTTCGTAGTTTTAGCCAATGTTGGACTGGTGGTTTGGGAACTGAATTGTGAAAATACCCCAGGTCATAATCCGCAAATACAGATTCAATACCACCAAGCCAAAGCATCAATTATCCTCTGGTAATTTAACGTAGCTATTGAAAATGACCATTTATAGTGGATTTTCCCATTAAAAATGGTGATTTTCCATAGTTATGTTAAATTACCAGAGGGTAACGAATGATAGTTGGTGACTCCAATGTTTCAGCGCAGTGTTTTTTGTTCAGCACAACCAGGGAGTGGGCGAAGCAACATCGATTCCAGCAGAGGATCCAAGATATCCAAGCCCGGCAGAGGATGAAATTCTCCCAATGGGGGGCCCTCCTATCTCCAAATACATAGATCCCAAACCCATAGGATCCATGGTGCTGGTATATATGCTAACATTGGGGGTATATTGATGGTAAATGTGACCATCTATAGCATACATGGATCATATGGGATACACTCCAATGATGTGTTGTTTTTTCCCTGCCTATATTTTGTATTCGGGTGCTGGGCTATCTGGGCTTACCTACTCGTACTTTAGGGTTATCAAGTCATCGTCGGGTGCCGTCAATGCACGGGATGCTTCCCCACACTTCGCACAGAAATCGAGGATTTCTGATGGGAATGGCAGAGAAATCTATGAGAATGGGATAGAATGATATACCCTCTGGTAAACTAACATAGCTATTGAAAATGGTCATTTATAGTGGATTTTCCCATTAAAAATTGTGATTTTCCATAGTTATGTTAGTTTACAAGAGGGTAGAATAGGGGTTCCACCATTGGGGATGCCTGAAACTTCCCCAAGAGCCGCCTAGCTAGTTCTTCGTTTGGATGCTCAAAGTGATTCAGATATATGGCGGCACAGGCGCACCAAACAACCTACACCGTGCAGCTGAATTTTCCCATGAACTTGGGGGAATCGTGTCACTGATACCCATTTATTTCATGATATATCATGATATAGAGTGCTGTATTTTATTTCATGCATGGTTTCAACTACGCCGGATTTTCATGGATTTTCTGGCTTAGCTTCTGCTTGGATCCTTGTCGTTCTATTTTCAGTTTCAGAACCTTGAGTTCTTGGCCTGTGGCATCGAATCCTTTTGAATCGACCCATACAAGCCATAGAGAGAGCATGGCAACTCGTCGCGAAAAATGCCAGGGAATCAACCGTGGATCCATGGCATTTGTGCCAGCGATCCGTTGTGTTCCGGCAATGCGATGTATTTTCATGGGCGATCTATTTTGAATCTTTGAAGAGATTTGGATATGGGAAGGGAACTCGGACAGCGTCCCACAAGGAAGCATCCGCATGATTGGGCTTGATGCTGTGCACCCTTGGAAATTTGCTTGTCAGCCACAACTGTCACCTCACTAGCTATGAAGCCAGCGCACCAGTTTCGAACCAATAATGCTTCCGTTGATAAGTTTATATTTTGGCCAGAAATTACATATTTTGTCAATCCAACCATTCTTGTTGGCAGGTTCTCATCCATCATCCAACCATTTCAAAAGGGCAAATTGTCATTCATGGTATTGTATGGTGATATAATTTGGCATATCGGTTGGTGGTTCGATTTTTTGGTCGTTTCCATCGAACCTGGAACAATGATACCAAAGGATTTAAGTCGACTTGTCCCTTTCCCTGGCCCCTATCGTTCTCCAAGGGAGGCAATGTGCCGCCAGTCGCTTGGGCTGGCGGCCAGCGAGTGGTGCTGCCTCCGAAGTGAGCAGCGCAGTTCTGACGCGGATTTGCTCTGTGGCTGGGCCTGGATTTTCCCATAGGTTTCTTTTCTTAAATATCATGATAGTTTACCCTCCAGTAAATTAACATAAACCCTGCCAGGGGTTGGAAGATTATATAGTTTCTACTGAACATTAGTTATTTTCAGGGTTTATATTAATTTGCCAGAAGGTGCACTAGTTTACTATATTTTTTTCATTGTCATGATTGCTATCACTGATGTTCTTTACTGAGTAGAAAATACCAGCCAAACTATTTTTTTCAGAAAACCATTGAGGGGAGTATGTAAAAACAAACAAATCCAATGGACATTGCCTAGGTTCAAGAACGAGTATTTTGAATCTCAGTAAGGATTGTAAATCATTGAATCTATGGTTTGGAACATGTTTTATTTTCCATAATATATGGGATAATCCTTCCCATTGACTTTCATATTTTTCAAGATAGTTAAAACCACCAACCAGAAATCTTTGAATCTATGTTCAACATACGTTCCATTGGCGGGTCAAGGAGATGATCTTTCAGGAGCAGATTTGGAATTCAGATTGATCCCAGCGAACTAAACCTCCATTTATTTCATGGATTTTCCAGTTCGCTATGTTAAATAACCAGATGGTATAGTTATGTTGTTCCTTCTCTCCGATTTGTTCTTCCCAAGTTTCTTGCTCTTTCCCTTCTTTCCTTTAGCCTTTATCCTTTCTTTCCTTCTTTGGAAACCTGGGCGCTCTCTGGAAGTGGTGCTAAGTAAGATGGAAAAAGCAGTCGTCAAGGAGTCAATGAACAGAAATGTTCTGAGAAAATCTTACCAGTATCCAGTACCATACCCACCAATTAGATCCAGAGGATACTAACTTATGGACTTTTTGCCACAATTCGGTCTCATTCCAGTGATATTGGTGCCAACATTCGCATCGCAATACTAACATATGATCCCATATAGACATTATATAGGGTGTGATATGTCATTTCCATCCATTTCCCACCCGCATTGGTTGAGGAAACAGCTGGGGAAGTTTTAGATGTTGAAGGCCCAAGCAAAATCCAGGCGAAAGGTTCACGGAGTGCATTTTTGCGAAAAGAAAAAGCAGCTGGGGCTGGAGCAATTTTGGGGGTTGACATGTCAGATCTCCAGACTTCGCAACCCGATCCAACCGGCATAGTTGCGTCTAGCTATAAAACGTATATAGACCTATTATGTTTTTTTTGAGCACATAGCATTCCACGTGCATATTATAGATTATATATACAATCACATATATATATATATATATAAATACATTATGTTACATACGTATCATGTTAGAGCTTAATGTACTGGTACAATCATGTTAGAGCTTAGTGTACTGGTACGTATATGCTTACACATACATACATACATACATACATACATACATACATACATACATACATACTTACATACATACATACATACATTCATAGTGAATTATTGACAGTGTGAACGATCCACCTAAAAAGTGGGGCTGCCAAGAATGATTTGGGTCGATTGTATAAAGCTGCACCACCGTGCACCCGCTGCCTGGTTTGGTTTCACAATGCCAGGCCCAAACAGATTGGACCGACTTCCGAGCTCAGCGCAGGCAGCGCGGGAAGGAATGGCCGACACCAACTTACAGACCTCCATCTCGGACGAAACAAATAGCATTGAATGAAGGTTGGTGTTTGTTTTCAATGTGATTGTTGAATGTGGTCCATTTCAATGAAGCTTTCCATAATAAGAATCAACCCAAATCAATCCAAATCATTTAATTAATGTGTTAAACTCAATAATAGTTCTCCTTCTTTGGAGGCTTTATAGAACCCATTTCCGGTGATATTGGGAATTGATTATTATTGGGTTTACCCCTTTAAAAAGGGTATAAAATTGGAACGTGTCCGTTGTTGAAGTCTTAAGTTTGCGATTTGTCAGGGTCCAAATGTGTTTTTTTTCAAAGCTACGGAGCCATCATGGATGCAGACGGGGGGTGGAAATCGGTTCTTTTTCCTGAATTAAGCGCAACGGTGATTCATGATGTGGTGGTGGTGGTGGTGGTGGTGGTTTATTATTTGGAAGCGCTTGACAACTCTCTTATTATTTCCATCTTGCAACCACTTGGCTGGTGGATTGGAATGATTTGCCACTTCCATCCCAAACTTGGATGAGCCAAGTATTCCCATGGTTTCTTCAGGTATGTTGGGCCTTAATTTCCATAGTAGAACTGCTGGTTTCCTTGGAGTTTCCCCTTAAAGCAATCCAGGTTGTGGTCCACCTCTAGCTGGGTTGCTGCATCATGCGGCCAC